GGACTACTGACAACCACAGGAGTGCAGTATTAAGATATTATTAAGAGATATTTATGAACTATTTAAAGCATGTAAGAAAAAGGTGCAATGCAGGGCAGTAAGGTGTGTACTATTATCTTGTCCTAGATGGTAGTTTGCAAATAGCCATATTACTTCTATCTCAAGGAAAGTTTTCTTTTTATTTTGATACTGTTTAAAGGGAAGAATGAAATTATAAAAAAATATGAAAACAAATAAGAAACTGTTTTTGTTAGCAGAACAATACAAAACCTGCATGGCACAGTGTTGGATCACTTGTATCTTTTTGAACTGGTTATAAAATTCAGCTGGCCAGTATGTAGGAAGTCCCTTGTATCAGTTGCAGACATGATTGACAGTGAACATGATCAAACTTGATGTTAAAAAGGAAAACATGGGGAGTTATCCAAATTTTGGTGTAAAACATGGCCTTTAATCATAACTGCAAACTTCTAGTGCATTCAGAGGTCAGGAGAAGATGTCATAACTTAACTACTGCACTGTCTTCAAAACTAAAATTGTTTTCAGTTCCCACTTTTACTCTTTTTTCTCCCCTTATGAACTTATTGCCCTTTAATAAAATCTCTCTTTCTCTCTCATTGGACAAATAAGATTTAAATGACCACATCCCCATCCAGTCTTTTAACATTTAATTACTCTTCACCTGTTACCTACCCACTGGAAGGTCAACAATCATTGCCCCGAAGAGTATACTTTGCTATTTTGTTCCACCCAATGTGTGAAATAAAAGTCCTTTTTGCACAAAACAAATAAATACCACAAAGATAAGGTTAAAATCTGATCAGCATTTTAGATCAGTTCGTTGGAAACAAAAATAACCACACAATCACACTTATACCTCAGAAACTGACCGCACGGAGGATTGCACAGACATCTAAAGTAACTTGGGTTTTAGCCCATCGTTTCCATTGTGCGTATCAATTTCCAGAAACTGATTTAAACTCAGGTGAACTGAGGTGGAGTGGTCTTCTGTTACAGGTTGTTATGTGGAGTTAGATGGCGGGGTGTTAATGATGGATTGCTGACCCCACAGAAGGATGAAGAGTTGGATTTCTTTGGTGCTTTGGCTAATTTAGAAACGTGGTGGGGAGTCTTATTTGTTCTTAATTTATTTCATTTCTTTGCTTTTTGATTTTTACTTTATACCTTCTCTAATGTATCTTGTTTGACATAGTTGCGCTCATATTTCCATTTCCATTATCAAAATTTTCAAGATTTTTGAACACATTGTAGCAATAAGCCTTTTTTTTTTTTTTTTACAAATTCAAAATCTTCCATTTTCCTGCTGAGCTGGAAATTGATGACACCATTTATAAAAATGAGTTCTGAAAAATTGCCATATGGTACATGTATTGCACTTCCTGACCTGTTTTATTAACTTGTACATTACACTTGTCAACTTATTTTGAAAGCAGCACAGTATATTATGTCATTAATATTAACCTTTAGATAGTCAATTGATCTCATGCCATTACTTTTCTTTATATGCCAGTGAAGACAAAGAAATATGTCAAACATCATGTCAAGTAAACCTACCCCCAGGCAAACAGAGGTTATGGAAATTATATTTTGAAATTTGAGTTAAATTGAATGTTAAATTAATTTTCATGCTGTCAGGAGTTCTTCAGTTGCCAGTTGGGAAGTTACAGTACCAAAGCAACACAAAAGTCATATGAAGAAGAAAGATGGAGAGAAAGATGGAAAATAGGAATAAACGTTTATTTGAATTATTTAAATGTGGCATATTAGGTCATTTGATTTTTTTCAGTCACAAAACACCCTTTAATTTGATACATTGCAATTCCTTCAATATGATACATTGTAGCCATCACAGCTCGAAATATTGTAGCCATCACAACATGATACATTGTAGCCATCATTACATGATACATTATGGCCATCATAACATGATACATTGTAGCCATCACAACATGATACATTGTAGCCATCATAACATGATACATTGAAATCATCACAAAATGATATATTGTAGCCATCACAACATGATACATTGTAGAGAACACACAAGTAGCAGTTGTATGTTTTGACTTGCAGGGCAAATAATTTGGTAATTTATCGCTAAATTACCCAAGTCCCCAGTGCCACAATGAACAACATAGGCTGCCCAAACTGTGCACTGTTGTTTCACACTACTGAGAATGCTTTGTTCCAGTATCCTCATGGTGGGATGTTGGGGAGATTCTTTTTCAACACTACAAGGTGTTTATATTTCACACCTAAAATTCTCAATTCGCATTCAGGGTTGAGTACTTTTAAGTTATTAATAATCGGAGGACAGCAGCAGACCAATTGGGATAAAAAAATTAGTGTGCTCAGGTGTAAAGCTGACCTGGGCTCCGTATCTCAAAAGGTTCGCTATGTTGCGCATGTGCGCAAGTGTCTCAATTCCATGGCCCCGTATCTCGAAATAGAATCGGTTATGGAATCGAGACACTTGTGCACGTGCGCAACATAGCGAACCTTTCGAGATACGGAGCCCTGGATGTTCCTATGTGAGCTGATCAACTGGTGATGTCACATGGGTGTTTTCAGTTTAAGGGACCCTTCACAGTGAAGTCTGTCAGCCTAGCTACTGCTCACTTACTCCACAGGGACTTTTTGTTTGCTGAATACAGTCAGATTAACACACTGACATGCCTACTGTTGTTTCCACCGTGCTTGTATAATCACCAGCTTTTCTGTATTCTGCTCAATGCCAAAAAAAAAAAAGAGTAAGTATTTGGAATAATTTATTTCAGGGAGATGTGTGTAAAGATGAGTATTTTATGGAGACATTTCTAGAATGAAGATAATTAAGTGATGGGAATTTAAAATAAAGCTGCTGTGAAGGAAATACCCAGCACATCAAATCTTAACTTTAAAGGGTGGTAAGCAAAGAGCAGCTAAGCACTGAAAGACTTGGTACTATACAAGTGAACTATATAAAACTAGTATCATTTAAACATTAAGAATATAAAATTGCCTTTGATGTGTCAAATTCTCTGTATACTGAACCTATTCACATGTAAGAGGAGGTCAAGGGTAACAAGGAATAAAGAGGAGACCAATTATTTGGAGGCAGGGCAGGGTCTTTTTTCTGATGGAACATCTTACATCTTTGCCTTGTGATCAATGGAAGCTTAAAAGCTCTATTTTTTGACAAGATTATAATTTGGGTGATTGGAAATTATAGGAAAATGTGCTTTGGGAAATTGAAGGTGAGATTATTTTGCAGGTACTACATGTATGTCTTATAATGTATGGAAAAATGACTGTTGTTTAAGAATTGATGGATAGAGAGAAGAGGAGAGGGGATAATAAAAAAAGAATTGGGAGAAAGATAATATGTGCTTTATAAAAACATTCAGCTGTTGAATAGTGTTTAACTTCAAATTATGTTGAATAAAGTGGGCATAATGAAATAATCTCTGGTAAAAACTGACTCTCTAGCATAAAAGAGAAAGGGACACTTTGAGTACTCCACTGTCAAATAAAAAAGAACGAAATTGGACGACTTTGTTTATCGTAAACAGGAGACAACCAAGAGTAAAATGTAATCAAAATATTGGTCTCAATAGCCATGTTATTTCAGAAGATACCTCATATTCGTTACATCCTTCAGGGCAGTATTTTGAGTCTGTGTTTCCCCATCAAATGTGACTCCAGCGGTGATCCTGTCAGCGGAATTAAGGCAGTCATAACACGTTGATTAGTTGTAGAAGTGTTTTCAAGCAGTTATGTAACAATTTAAGCCTTGAGCACTAGGAAAGGGGCAACAGGATAACAGTGTCGTCAAGGCTAAATTTAGATGGGATGTTTGAGAATTTGTTTGTTGAAACATCATGACCTATCTGTCTGCTGCTTTTGGCCTTAATTCAAAAAACAGACGTTTTCCATGGCTGGCCTATCTGTGCTAGCTAAAATGCTTACAGATTGCTAGACAGTGTTAGATGGCATATGAATTATATTAATAAGCTCTCAAAATAAACCACATGCTAAAATTTATGGACATTTTGAAATCCTAAGTGGTTCCTGAGTGTGTATTTCCAATCAATACCACAGGGTTCACTTCTATGTCACTGGGTTTCTTTTGAACCTGTTATCGTTTGTGTTGTATTTCTTCCAAACACGACCAAGGGCACAGTTATGACTACAGATTCTAGTGCCTACTTGAAGCCAGAGGGGATTTAATTGAGGACCACTTAAATCTGCCCTTTGATTGAAGGGTACTTTTTGAAGGATTTATTGGTTTATTGGCTGATTGATTAGCCTATGATCTCAGAGACTTAACTGGTCATTCAATAGGTTTTATGTTCTGGAATTCAAGCTAGGGAAAAAGATAGGGTGTGTTTAGTAACACTGGGATAGAAGAAGTTTGTTTTAGTCCAGAATCCATTGAAAATCATTTGACAGTTTTACTTTTTTTAACATTTAACTGACCAATGATTTATGAAACTGATAAAAAGCCTTGTGGTACTGCGTTTATCTTGAATAATTTAAATTTTAACAAGGATGCTAGTGTGTTTGAAAAAGGCACATCTCATACCTAGATGCTTTGCCAACTTGAGTTCCATTTTTCATTAGTTTTATGTAGTTATATTAATTGCGTCATTTCAATTAAGTGTTTATGAATTAATAGGTTGGTTAATCAGTGATATCTTTATCAAGTGTATATATATATATATATTTCTATTTCAAAACATTTTATTTCAACCCAATTGAATCCCTGTTTATGGATTGGTGATGTATGTGTTATGCAACTCAAAGTCTGTACATTTAACAGACATGAGCTTTTTCCACAGAATTACAGAATTCAGCTTTTTTACATGACCCAAGAGTAATTAAACCCCCAAAAAATTTACGTAAGTTGTTTGGTTCCACAATAAATGTTCATAGTTTTTTCCCTAAAATCTGGGCTCATGTCTCATTTAATACATATATGTTTCTCAATTGTATTTCAGATGGGGATTCTCCGCACCTCCAAGGCTGAGTATATCGTCCAGCCTCTCCCATCTCATCTCCATCGCCATTTTGTGAATACAAGTCATGCCAGCGCTTCTCATTACCCACATGTTATATATATGAAGTCATCTCTCCATTCTCTTAATTCATCTTCCTCACATGGGACTAACCACCTGTGTCATAGCAATAATAATAGTGATCATCTTAAAGGTGAGTTGTTAACATTGATTTCAAGGGTTAAGTCTTAATTGTGGGCTGTTATGTTGATTTTTTAGTATGGAGAGCAATTCTTCTGAGTTTATTTATTTATTTATTTATTTATTTATTTATTTATTTATTTATTTTGAGGGGAGTTACTTTTTTATTTATTTGATTTAAAGAGGATGACTTGCTTTGTGATTCTGATTGATTTTAAAGTACTGTATACCTGGATGGTACACTATCATTAGGAAGGATGGCTCTGTCACTTCTCTTTGTCATTGTGATTAAAGAAATGGTAATAATGAACCATTTATTGTTGAAAATGTAAATGTTATATTTGCCAGAGCAGAACATATCATCTCTTCATTCATGTTTTTTATCCCCTGTGAAAAAAATTAATAAGGAAATTAGTTGCAACCTTCTAATGTTGTTCCAAAATAATGTATTTATATCAAGGCACATATTTTCAGCATGTAGACTAATATTTATTGTAAACTGAACCCTGCCCCTTTTCTCCCTCTGGGTGTGTTAGACCCAGCTAATGATCACTGATATTAGAGGTTAAAAAGTTAAAATAACAAACACTGTATTATGAAAGGTAACTCTTTGGTGTATGATGACACATTTGACATTGAAAAGGTGTCTATATTACAGTGTATAATTTAGTGCCCAACAGATACCTGTCCAGGAAAAAATTACAAGAAGAAAACTCATTGTGAACATTATAGAAAGACAGATTGATATAGCCTTCTGTTCTCATAAGTCAGAATTTAAGATGATGCTTTTGGTACTGCATTTTTTGAGAGACTGGTCTGTTTGTGTAGGGCTCATCCTGAATTTCAGAGGACACTGAAAACTGCCCTCTCTCCTATCAGCATTCCTCAGTCATTACCAGTGTGTCATAGATATTAGAGAGGCGAGTTTTCATTGACCTCTAAAACTCTGGATGTGATGGCTGAATCTGCCTCTTAATAGAACTCTTGTGTTCAGTTGTTGTAGTTGAGAAAGCAGCAGTTGTGTTGTATTGTTCTAGTGACTGTCTCAACTACTACAATCTTCCATTGTGTTTATTTGTTCAGAGACGTATGTGACTGTGTTTGTTGAGGAACTTGGACCTTGTAGCATTTAGCTTTTTGTCTCTTTGCTCAAAGGCTTTCATTTCTTCCTGTGAAGTCTAATTGACTTATAGTTTTAAAAATTTAAAGTTAATTTTAAAGAAATGGTGCATGGCTTCTGTAAAGAAGTTTGCTATCTGTAAATTGCATGTTGAAGTTTTGGGACATAAATGTATCTATTAACTTTTAATTAACAAAGAAGTGTGACAAAGGGCATTTTGGTAATATAATGTCATTTTTTACAGCCTTAGACAATAAACTACAGCCATTCCAGCAACCAAAAGACAAAAAAGATAATGACGGTGATAAAGAAAATCATCTCATTCATAAAAACCAAAGATATAAGAGATCTACAGCATTATACTCACATCATCGTCACCGTCACCATCAGCATCAGCGTCGCGTGAAAGATGGAAAGAATAAGGAAAAGTTGAGGAATTTGGAAACCCTTGTGGTTATAGACAAAAACATGCTAGATGCACATGGCGATAAAAACGTTACCACTTATACCCTCACAGTGTTAAATATGGTAAATAGAGCAATGAGATTATGTATTTCAATTTTGTATTTATTTAAATATATAGATTTTCTTGTTTAATTATATAGTAATGGTGCAATCATACAAAATAACATTCTTTATTGTAATCTTTGATGTTATTTTGTACATATTTTAATAATTTCAATATTAGACAATAAACTTGTTTCCAGTGTTTGTTTAAATGTTCAGGTAAATCTGCTGTTGCACAATATTACGTATGTTAATATTGTTTGTACACTTGCTTCAGGTCTCTAAGTTATTCCATGATAACAGTATAGGAGAGAAGATTAATATAGTCCTTACAGCATTAGTATTACTAGAGGGAGATGAGGTAAGTGGGTCAGTTTTGTTTATGAATATTAGATTTGGCTTGTCAGATTAATGAAAACTGATTAACTAAATTAATGTAAAAAGGTTTGGAAAAGATGGCTGAATATCATAGCACTTTTTATCAAACAAGGTAATATTCCTATCTTGAAATATTGTTTTTAGAAAGCATTAATGAAGACAAATTTCCTATAAAAAATGTTCACTTTTTATGAGGACTTTTACAAAATTTGGTGGTTGGATACCTGTATTTTCCCCTGGCTTAGTTATAGGATTATTTTATTAGGATAAAATCTTTTCTACACTAAGCCATATTTTGATCCTTTTTATGAAAAGAAGTATATATCTGGTTCCATAGTGAACTACACAGTGGATGAAATCCTTTGGTAATTGATTAAATTTATATGATTCTTTTTAGGCTGGGTTGAGGATAGGCAAAAATGCAGAGAAAACCCTGGATAGTTTCTGTCAGTGGCAGTCGGCCTTGAAGCACAGAGAAAACTTCCACCATGATCATGCCATACTGCTGACAGCAACAGACCTCTGCGTCAACGAGTACGGCCCCTGTGATACTCTGGGTAAGTTGATCTATGTTAATTTGTGAAGATGTAGATTTGAAATAGGTTCCTTCTCCTATGTCATAGATTAAATTGTGGAAGATTTAGATTTAATAGAGGCTCACACAATTGTGTCAAAAATCAAATGCATGAGGGAGAAACCATTGGTTGCATTAAGCACTAGATTATCGGAAAAAGGTGTGGCGAGTGCCTGGTCTGCTCATCCATACTGTATAATTTTTGCGTACAGGTTTTGCCCCCATCCAGGGTATGTGCAGTAGCCGCCGTAGCTGTACCATCAATGAAGACACAGGACTGGGGGTAGCCTTTACCATTGCACATGAAGTGGGACATAAGTGAGTGTATTTAAAATGGAAAAAGACTTGAACAATGCCAGGCAATTACAGTACTAGTATTATTGGATTTTTTTAAACGTTCAGAATGAGTAATAATGGGAAATGGGGGTTCTAGTAGATTTTGATATTTGTGCTTTTCTTTTGTAATATTAGTGAGAAATTGTGAGAAATTACCACATAATATTTTATAAATGTCCAGTCTTGGGATGGTCCATGATGGAGAGGGGAACTACTGCAGCAAGTATGATGGTGGCATCATGTCCCCTACGCTGTCAGTGGGGAATGATGGGGTGTTCAAGTGGTCAGTGTGCAGCAGGGAATATCTACAGAAATTCCTACAGTGAGTAGCTTCAGTGTGTGTGTGTGTGTGCGTGTGCGCGCACATTTATCAGTGTTTTACTGTATGTCTATATGCCTGTGTGTGTGTGTGTGTGTGTGTGTGTGTGTGTGTGTGTGTGTGTGTGTGTGTGTGGTTGTGTGTGTGTGTATGTTTGACTGTTTTTCTGTTTGTCCAATGTCTGTCTGTTTTTTAGTCTGGTCATAAGACATTATGTCTATGTAGAATTTGTTTTGCTAAAATTGTGGTATACTTTGGAAATAAGTTTATAAGATATATCAGTTATTGTTATAATTTCTAAAAATTAATTAAACTGGTCTTTGTTGATTGTCATAGTGATTTGATTATTTTAAAACAGTAATGATGGGTATGTGATGATGATGTCATCCTCTAGGTCACATCAGTCACGCTGCCTCAGTGAAGATGAACCCAAGATGGCGGCTGATTACAGTTTCCCAGACAAGCTCCCAGGACAAATGTACGATGCTGATACTCAGTGCAAGTGGCAGTTCGGGTCGTCTGCGAGTCTCTGTAATTTTGACTTTGGTAGGGTAGGTGTGTGTATGTTATTACCACTTGTCATCTAGAACTGGAATTTACATTTTATGGTGCAGAAATTAGCCAATTTTTACAAGAATTAAAGCATGACTTTAAGAAGCATTCCCTTACTCACCAAATACATCACCTTTCTTTTATATGAAGTTAACTGTTAATATAATGCTATAAAGGAAAATGAAATAATCTATCACTATTTACCAGTGAAAATGGAATGATGATTGATTGAGTGATTATGGTCTGTTAACAGTGAAATTATCATATTTTGATGAGATATTATAAAATAGTCAATTGTCCATTCCAGGAGATGTGTAAGTACCTGTGGTGTCATACTGTGGGTTACAAGTGTGAAACTAAGTTTCTACCTGCTGCAGATGGCACCAGATGTGCACCTGGAAAGGTATGGCGTTGTTATACCTCTGTGCCATATACAGTAATGCCACTGTGTTAAAGTGAATGTCATGTTATCATAATATTTTACTTGGCAAGGAATACTTTTCGATGTGACTGTGCAAACTGCATTGACATGGAAGAGTATTTTATTTGTTACAAAACTGTAAGAAATTTACTCTTTCTTTTGTATATTGTAATTCAGTCAATGTCTTTCATCTGCCTTGACTACATGTATAAGGATAAAGAAATGAGATTTTAACAATCCCAATGTGGTAACGAAATGCTGCTATATTCCAGTGGTGCCTGAAGGGTCTGTGTTTACCAGAGGGAGACTCAGGGCCGGAGTCCGTAGATGGCCAGTGGTCTGACTGGTCAGCCTGGACACTCTGCTCCAGGACGTGTGGGCGTGGCGTACAGCTCAGGAAGAGGGACTGCAACAACCCTAAGTGAGTGGAGGGTAACTGTATGCGTACTTCTTAGAAATTCAGGGGAGGGTGGAGGCCGTCTTCTGGAAGAATATTTCAAGTTTGCACGTATGGGCATCTATTTTTTCTGTCGGAAAAATCAAAAATGGTGGATGAATCAACAAAGATAATTTGGAAGACAGTCAGAAAATATTTCTCTATCTGTCCCTGAAAATGAAGACGTGGGCAATTTTTTTAAATTAATTTTTTTTTCATTGAAATATACTTTTCAGAATGTTGTTTGTTAAGCGTTACAGTAGTCATATGATAACTGAATCTTAAATTCTGTTTTTCCTTATATTATTCAGTTTATGAAAATATGATCCAATTGTTTCCAGGCCCAAATTTGGTGGGGAGCAATGTCCTGGGAATGATACAATGTATCAACTGTGTAATACTGAGGTAAGTGGCTGAATACTGGTACATCAATTTTATTTGAAAATTATTGTAATATCTTGCCAAGTTCGAATGAAATTAATGAAATGTTTCTTCATAACATTGTTTTGTAAGTAATATTCAGGAAAATTGGTCGAAGGTTCTAAACTGAATGGGTTCTAAGTTGCATGGGTTCATGTAAGGAAATATATTATAGTGATCTAATTGATAGATTTCAAAAATTGATTGGTTTGAATAAAAGGAGTGTTTGAACATGGTTTTCAAAATAACTTAGAATATATGAATTTTATATAAATGACCATTTTGCACCTTCATATTTCCTATATTTTTCTAGATTGCTATGAACATTGGTATAATTTGCTCCTTTTGATATTTAGATAATGTTATGATTATGAATGTGCACCTATAAGAAGTAATGAGGAACATGTAATTTGTCTTTTCAGAGGTGTCCAACTATTGGCTCCACCTATAGGGCATTACAGTGTACCTCACGTAACTACATCAAGTTCAGGGGATGGTACTACAAATGGGAACCATATACAAAAGTTCCAGGTAAATGTCTTCTTAATAAAGTGTATCTCAAATCTAATTGTTTGGTTAAAAGTTTGTTCCTCATAAGATATTTATGATACTTTAACATTGAAATGCAAATTACTCACACCTTTCATGAGTATTTTTGCTGATTTTTAACAAAAAAAAAAAAAGAATGTGTTAAATTTACACGTTAACCTATGCAACAGAAAAAATGTCCTCACATGTCTGAAGACTAAAATATTAAATATTTGTTACTGTAGCTATAACCAGTTGCCAGCATTGCTTGAGAATTATTTCAACAGTTTTTACTGCATTGTTGAACCTATACCTCAGATACCTATTATTAGCCATTACAAATAACTAAATGTCATGATGACCACTTCAGAGGAAGACCAGTGTAAGCTGTACTGCAAGGCCAAGCGTTATTCCTTCTACTATCAGATGTCTACCATGGCAGGGGATGGCACCCAATGTCTCTACAACCCCCAGGGGGTCTGTGTACAGGGGGTATGCAGGGTAAGTAGGGGGGTCTGTGTACAGGGGGTATGCAGGGTAAGTAGGGGAGTCTGTGTACAGGGGGTATGCAGGGTAAGCAGGGGGTGTTTGTGTACAGGGGGTATGCAGGGTAAGCAGGGGTGTCTGTGTACAGGGGGTATGCAGGGTAAGCCTCTCACACATGTGTATTTCAGGTTGTATTTACAATTTAAAAAAAATTATTATTCTTTGGTAAGTGTATATATTTGTTAATGTGTTGTGATGTATTTTGGTGTTGAAAAGATATACTTTTATAAATATTAGTAATATTTACACTTATCCAGTGATAGAAAATAACTTTTGAAAGCCAAAGCTTACTTTTCTTATTTTACAATATGGTTGTGATGTAAGTTTTTATGTAATATGTGATATATTTCCCAGATCCCTGGTTGTGATGGTATCCTGGACTCTGGAGCTGTGGAAGACAGCTGTGGCATTTGTGGAGGAAAGAACAACACTTGTGATAAAGTCACAGGGACTTTTACAACACCTGCCAGACCTCATAGTAAGTTGAACATTTGTATTGTAAAATACCAGATACATTGTCACAATCAATGCATTTCTGTCTAACTTACTGTTTCACATCTAACACACTATGCCACATCTAACACACTGGGTCACATCTAACAATACCATGCCATACAAGTCTCTGTCACATCTAACACATTTCTGTCACATCTAGCACACTGTGTCACATCTAACAGTGCCATGCCACATCTAACACATTGCTATCATACGTAGCACACTGCCAAATGTCAATTGTCTCCACTTGAATTACTTTCAATGTCAAGTTGCCCTAAATATGCTAACACCTAACTAGGTCAAGTCAGGACATGAAACTCAGACGTTTGTCCTTTAGGTCCCAAAATCCGAATAGAAATTTTTAAGATTTAAACTATGTATCTTTTTTTTTTAATTTATATAAAAAACTATGCATCTATGTTTACCTAAGGTAAATCTTATTTAACAACTAATTTTCCTNGGTATCCTGGACTCTGGAGCTGTGGAAGACAGCTGTGGCATATGTGGAGGAAAGAACAACACTTGTGATAAAGTCATAGGGACCTTTACAACTCCTGCCAGACCTCATAGTAAGTTGAACATTTGTATTGTAAAATACCAGATGCATTGTCACAATCAATGCATTTCTGTCTAACTCACTGTTTCACATCTAACACACTATGCCACATCTAACACACTGGGTCACATCTAACAATACCAACCCATACAAGTCTCTGTCACATCTAACACATTTCTGTCACATCTAACACACTGTGTCACATCTAACAGTGCCATGCCACATCTCACACATTGCTATCATATGTAGCACACTGCCAAATGTCAATTGTCTCCACTTGAATTACTTTCAATGTCAAGTTGCCCTAAATATGCTAACACCTAACTAGGTCAAGTCAGGACATGAAACTCAGACGTTTGTCCTTTAGGTCCCAAAATCCGAATAGAAATTTTGAAGATTTAAACTACATATCTTGTGTTTTTTTTTTTTTTTAATTTATATAAAAAACTATGCATCTATGTTTACCTAAGGTAAATCTTATTCAACAACTAATTTTTCTCCCTCAGCCTACCATTTTGTGACCAAAATCCCCAAAGGCTCAATGGAAATAGAGATTCATATGCTGCAGATCTCAGCCAGTTTTTTAGCTGTGCGTAACCTTCGCGGCAAGTACTACCTCAATGGGGATTGGCAGATCCAGTGGTCTCGAAACTATCAGTTTGGTGGCACCACCTTCAGTTACAGCAGGTCTTTCAAAGATCCTGAGAGATTAGAGGCTAAAGGGCCCATCACTGAGGATTTGGTCATTATGGTGAGGAAAATATAATGAATAATTTTTTTCTTTTTTCTTTGCAGCTTAGATACATAAATGTTGGGAAATATACCATGATGCAAATAATACACTATTGTAGAATTCTTTCATGTCTCATTTGTCAGTATTGCCCTTGACTCCTGGTACATGGAGTTATAAAAACAATGGAAACCCTTCACCTCCTGCTTTTCAATCTTATTATGAAAATTGGACAGGATTTTAAATGATTATTTGCAGCAGAAATAGATATGAAATCAACAGATTACTGGAAAACAGTGTAAATTTAAAGAATCATGCACAATAAGATGTAAAAATTGCTACAAATTAATTCAACTGTAGTTTTTAAACAGACAATACATGTGTAATATCCAAACTTTTCCACTCCAGGTGATGATCAGAGGCCCCAATCCTGGTGTGAAGTGGCAGTATAGGTCACCACTGGCCTCCCGACTTCCTGAGGTTCACAATAACAACATCCAGACCTCCACAGGGTACAGCTGGAGAGTGGAGACAGCACCATGTTCTCGCACTTGTGCTGGAGGTAGGTGCTATTTTCACATAAGATACAAAAGCCATTCAGATTTATCTGTAAATCAGGATGCTTGGGTATTGACCCCCCCCCCCTTTTGAACCCCTGATATAGAGCAATCTTTACATTTCCTGAATTCTTGTTACTCAGGCTTATGATATAGGCAAAAATCTCTATCTATGTCAGGGATCTCGTTGGTTCATTCCAGCATAAATCCAGATTTTGATTTTGGTTGATATACTGAATATTTATTGTCAACATAAGTTTTGTAAATTCAGTGACACATTGGCCAAAAGAGGTATTATTTTACTATTTGAAGTATGTAACAAATAAAAATAACAAGTTAAAGCTTAAGTAATGTTCATGTCAAACACTTCAATTGAAATAATATTTCTAAACAAGGAAGCATTAGGTTGCAAGTTTGCTTTATAGGCTCATAATCATGTAGATCTGAGAAAAAGATTGACTGTGAAAAGAGTAATAAGGCCTGTCATGTCTGTTACGTATTAATATAGGAGAGTAGGTGATAAGGCCTGTTATATATATATATATATATTTTATGACTTGTTAATACAGGAGAGCAGGTTGTCTCAGCAGTTTGTGTGAGAGATGGCCAGACTACTGTCAGTGAAGATCTCTGTGAACAGAGCAGTAAACCAGTTGTTGGCCTGAAACCATGCAACCAGCAGCCATGCCCTGCTAGGTAATTCTGGCTGACTGAAATATTCATGTTGTGTTAAATAAAAAATTTAATAATTGTTGTATGTCACATTTCTTCTGTTATTGGTAAAAAAATATTGTATACTAGCCTTTTTTGTATACTACAGTGTATCATACTTTGTTGGTTTGTAAATTTGTTTTAAATTTTTCTAAAATCATGTCTTCTATTACTTCTGTCAGCAACTTTTCTATGACATGTCTTAAAAGCATGGTAAAAAAAAGATTTTATGGACTTTGATATACACTTGGAATAGTATTCTAAGCTGTTGTTTTCAATTACCAAACAGGTGGGAGACAGAACCCTGGGGAGACTGCAGTGCCAGTTGTGGAGGAGGGCATCAAAAGAGGCGTGTCATGTGTATGCAAATGAGGTCAAGGTCAAATGATGTCAGGGTCAAGGGTCACCACTGCCAAGGTGTGAGGCCTCACAGAAGGCAACAGTGTAATGTCCATCACTGTCCACCAATGTGGCAGACAGGGAGCTGGTCAGAAGTATGTCACCCCCTCCTCTCTCTCTCTCTCTCATGTTATTCACTATAGCACAAATGCAGTTTTAAAATCATGGGTAAATACAGAGTATCAAAATTACAAAGAGGGAAGGAATCAGCTAGGACCAGCCTTTTCTTAATCCTAACTACTCCAATGTTCAAGAAAAAATAATAACACTGATAAAGAAAGAAAGAGAAAATAGGAAGAAAAAAAGAATACTTGCTGAATTCTGAAGTATGTGAAACATGTTTTTATTAGCCTTTTATATGATTTGTATTTTCTCCCTCTTTGAGAAATTGGAGCAGGAGGCCTGAATATGACATTTTGATTCAGAAAATGGAAGAAAGGGATGCTGACTCTATCTATTTACAAATATACAAAGAAAGTGACAATCACAGTGTAAATACCAGTATTATCATTATAAAACCTCCCACCTTTGTCTCACAAGTTAACAAAGTTATAAACAAATATGATTCCAGTGCTCTACAACTTGTGGTGAGGGGGTCAGGACGAGAACCATCGAGTGTAGAAGCCTGAGTCCCAGGGGGGACACCAAGTGGCCAGACACCCTGTGTCAGTTTCAGAAGAGGCCCAACTCTACGACCACGTGTTATCAGCAGGCATGCCTTAGACCACGGTGGTCAGTAGGGAAATGGACACTGGTAAGTTTGCCTGTACAGCCAGGATCCATCAAGGCTGGATATAGTGCTGCCTAGTGGTTAAAAATTAGGATAATCTGGATAGTTTATTTGGAGGACAACTTTTTCATCAGCAGTGGATAGCCTTGTCCAGAGGTTAAATCGGGTTATCCATAGGATGAAGTTGTCCAGTCCAAAGAGATGGGATAGATCTCCTATCCTGCTGGTAAAAATGGTGAACCTGCTTGGTTTGGCAGTAAATCCTGTGTGCTTTTACAAGATACGACTATCCAGCCTTAATGGAACCAGGCCCATCTAGATACTATAGGAGATTTAATCACGTAAATGTTTACACTGCATGTTAGACCTCTGTATGTAAACTAAATTATTTTTCCTGGAAATGGAAGCAATTTTCCATTTATCACCAAGTTACATATCTCAAACCAAGTTATACCTGAAAACCATTGAGAAAATTACGGCCAGTAAACCTGTTTTCAAGTCCAGGAAAACTATTTCTTCAAGTTACACCTAGACCACATTTTGCCTTTGTGCATGATAATAGTTTGTTATTATGCCATTTCTGCTGATAGTACACATTTATGTGATTCCATATTATATTTTACCTACAACGTGGTTAGACACGAACAAGCAAGGAAAATCTTCGGTATGTTAAGTTTTTAACTAACACAAAATCTTAATTATATCAGACTGATTAGTCTTTTTTGTTTCATTCTTCATATTTTCTTCTGCAATTAATTTCAGTGTTCAGTCAAATGTGGGAGGGGACAGCAAAGGCGCTACCTCCGCTGTTTCATAGAAAACAATATGGTGGATGACAAGCGCTGCGCCAGTGTGCCAAGACCAGTAGTGTCGCTGATGAAGGAATGTGATGCGGGAAAGCAGTGCTCTGTGAAGGGGAAGTGGTACGCCTCTCCCTGGTCACAGGTACACCATGTTCAATTATCTCGCTTTAGGGCTGGTGGTGCAAACCCAAAAGGTGGTAGTACCTCTCTGGTCCTCTAGTTGTTCCATGTTAAGTCTAGGGCATTGTTTGCGTCCTTTCTTGGTTAAGCCAGTAACCTAGATATCTAGGTAATTAATAAATTGAAATTTTAATTATATATTTCATCATATTTTATGGTAATATTCCTTTGAAAGGAAACAAGCCATTTATAATGTGTTTAAATTTGTATGTATAAGTACCCATTAAATACAGTATGCCAATCTGCCACACTATACCCATCTACTGGCACAACAGTACAGCATTTTTCCACGTTTTTATTTATCCTGACTTTTGAACTACAACAAACAGGTGTCTCTTTGTTTCAGTGTTCAGTGTCATGTGGTGAGGGAGAACAGACCAGGTTTGTCAAGTGTTTAGGAGAGAATGGAGAAAAGGAAAATGAAGTGACCATTAACTGTGAACAGTCTTTCAAACCAACTACCTCCCAGACATGTAATCTTCAAGCTTGCCCAACACCTAGTATGTTTTTAAGATTTATTCTTTGGTTATATGTTGAACTCATTTTAATAAATCTGATCATTCTTTGCTTAATTTTATTTTACTTTTTATTTCTTTATTTGTTTTTGACTCAGAAATTCATGCTGTTAAGTTATATTTTGTTAATTAAGTTTTGATTGCTTGATTCATTCATTCATGCATTAACATTTGTGTTTCTAAAATTGGACAATGAAATCTCAAAATTCACTTATAATTACTTCACAGTAGATAATAAAAAATGAATGGGTGTACTTCTTGCTATTGTTGTTATGATTATAAAAATTCGGCAATGATCTTGAATTCTTCTTTTTTTTTCAGAGCCCTGTGAAGATGAGTATAAGTGGTGTTATCTTGTTCCACTCCATCATTACTGCAGTAAGAAATATTATAGTGCTACCTGTTGTAAATCATGCCGAGGAACATGACAAAGTCCAAAATTACTAATTTTTTTAAGTAAAGCATGCGTCTTAAGCCTCTAAATTAAGTCCAGATAAATTTTGTTTTTTAAAAACTTTAGCAATATAGTATTTCATAATCTCTGAAAATAAAGGACTATGCTTGTTTTTGAATTTTGTTATGTTCATTAAAAATGTTATTTAAACCTTTTGTTGAATACTTTAAGTTTGGTTTCTTTGATAAAAATAAAAGATCATTGTAGTTGTCCAAAAGTTGTACTTTTTCATTATTATTGTTTTTAAATTCTTATCAGGAATTCAGTTACCTGTACTGCAGCTTTGTTCTTTGTCAAACTTTTTCCTGTTAAGGATGTGGACTGGGGTGTGCATGTGTCACCTTTAGCTGACTAATTTCTTATTTGTAATATTTCTGGTTTTATATTGTTTTGTTTTCATACCTTGTTATTTTAATGACCCCCCCCCCCCTCCACTCCTTATCATAAGTTCAAGTTAATGAATAATCACTGAAGATACTTTGTGTTGCCCTCTTTGATAAGATATGGTCAAATTGATATTTGTTTATTATTATGTGGCATAATATGATCATATGAAAGCAGGGATAGATTAGCTTTACACTATAGTTATTGTTCCAACCTGACTCAAATATTTTAAATTGTTTTAATCAATGTCAGCCTCATTTAAATGTTTTAGCAAATCTGAGTATTAAATTGGTTTATACCAAAGATGGATATATATAAATTAAAATTAAATGTAAGTTTTTGATGTTATGTTAATTTCTAGTGGGTAATGTGTTTGTTAACTGTAATATGTATAAACATATTACAACTGTATGTGACTAAAGTATTTTTTCTGATGAACAAGACTTTGTGAAGTTACTTGTCTGTTAAAGAGGCACTCCTGAACCAGATTTTGCATTTATAATTTATGCAGTTTGTCTTCCATTTATACATCTGTGTGTACATATATGTATTATTCTGAAAATTCTAATGATTTATTCATAATTTATAGATCATCAGGGTTTTTTTTACATTGTAAATTTCTTATCAGTTATAACCTTGTTTCATTACATGTATATAGAGAAGGAGAAACAAAATAAATTTATTTAGAAACTAACAAATTATTATTATTTATAAGGTTACGTCCCTTTATCTATCCACAGCACTACTCCCTTTTTAGAACGAAAGTGACATTTAAAACATAATTCTAATTTTTTAAACCCAGTGCAAATACCAAGACCCAAAAGTGACCAACTTTTCAAAGAATTATTTAAAAATATGATGAGAACTGTGCAGGATGTATTGAAGAAGAAAATAATTAATAGGCCTATAATTTTGCTTGGGGGAGTAACAGCAAGATATGACACCATTTGAACTGGTAAGGTATGGTGAAACTCGACTACTGTAGTTCATTTCGGGGCCGTAGCAATAGTCCGAAGGTTCAATAGGCCGAATGTTCACTATAGAACCTTCAGACCAATGAACCCTTGATTAAAAAATCAATGAAAATGTTACCACTTTTCGGACCAATGAACCTTAATTCGGACCAATGAACCTTCGGACTATCGAGACGCCCTCGTTCATTTCAATCATGTTATTATGTCCAAGTTTCAATTTGTTGTATTTTTCATATCACACACAGTGCTAATTTTTTTTTTTTTTTTTTTTTTTTTTTTTTTTTTTTTTTTTTTTTTTTTTTTTTTTTTTTTTTTTTTGTTATCTATGAAATAATAAAAAATTAATGATTTTATCAATCAAGATTCTTGGGTATGCAATCAATGTACATGATCAACCTCCAACAATATATATTTAAAATCACACAACAGTTGCTATAGACTTCAAAAACCCCCCGCTAGGTGTCAGGACTCGTTACCTTATTCCTGATGATGAGTCTTACACCAGCATTGCATCAGTTTCAACTCCAAAATCTGACCAATCAACAGCATTTGTACGAACATAGTACTACGTATAGAAAACGTCTGGATCCTTCTAGATCCTTCTCGAATGTTTTAGTAATATAAACGTTTGCACATTTTACCAAGCTTGCTACTTCATCGTCTCTAGATCTATGCTTATACCTTTAAATCGATAGTGATGTAAGAGCACGAACTGATCAGGATTGACAAAAACTTGATCAAGTTGATATATATGTTATTTCAAATGGATTCAAAAGTTTAATAAGCCTGCAACATGAAAGTAGGAAACTGGAAAATGATGCGCACTGCAGAGGACGAATATTGTGTGACGTTAACGAACGATATATATATGCACTAGATCGACTAATTTAACATTATTCGATTTTTCACAGGATATCAACATTTTTAAGGTTTGTAAAGTACTGAAAATAGCTGACACTTGACTGAAATTTTTGTGTGTCGGACATAACGTACGACAAAGCTTGTTTTAAATAGCATTTAAAATGTTTTTCGAGCCGGCCGGCATCGCCATTATGCACGGAAACTCCCCTTGTATTGCGGTGCCTGTTTACACTAAATTTAGCAACTGACCGCATGCTGCCATGACAACCGGGGAATTCCCGGGCCTCGGTCTAAGTTTGCTCGAGTGCTCGTGAAAACGACGATATGTGATTGGTTAATCATATGTCATTTTCTATTTTTAGGATTCATACGTCACAGCTGGTATAAATACAGAAGGCATTTCCCACAAGCCTCTGTTGTTGCCTGTCATTTGAAGAAGCCGGTCGCGTGTAGGTGGTGTTCCCCTTTTGGCCATTACACACTATCTGTGCAGTGATCATAACAGCATATCAGTCTTGAATGACGCTAGATATATCTAAAACGTCATTAAGACGCAGACAGCCGATTTCCCGCAAGAAATTTGGCGAGAAGCTGGGCAGATTTACGAAGCAACATCCCGACCGCCATTAAGTCAAGGGGATACCTGAGTCAGCATTTTTCCAAACAAAATGGAAAACGGTGCTATGTTGGATGCGACATGGTTGGAGGAGACATGTCAACTGACAGTCCCGCCCCAGGGCGACTCCCTGGAGTTCAACACGGACGCGGACGACGGGATTCTTGCGCTTCAGGGCCTAATTACCGCTGACGGTGACATTATCAGCGGCAGTGACGACACACCTGGACTGTCAAGGAAAGATTTTCTTTGGCTTAGTCCTGCAGATGCCCCGTGCGCAAGCGATCCACCGTCCCCCGAGGACCCAGTGCGAGTTCCTGGCGTTGCAGTGGACCAGTTGGACTTCTTCGACATGATTAATGAAGGTGAGGACGTGGGTTCTGCTATCGACCCTAACGATGCTTTAAACGTTCTCTTAGAGACTCTCTCTAGTGTATCAGAAGCTCCCTCATCACCCCCTGCCTCCTTGATTTCCTGTGATTCAAGCTTTGGCTTCACCGACGAAGAACTGGTGAGCCTGACAACCCCAGAGCTTAACCGTCGCCTTAAAGGACTGTCTAAAGAAACCGTTGCCCTAGCTAAGAAGAGGAGACGTACCCTTAAAAACCGCGGGTACGCCTCTAACTGCCGCGCCAAGCGCTCTCACACAAGGCAGAGCCTTCAAGAGGAGAATGGCAACTTGCAAAGGGAGGTTGAAAGACTACAGAAACAGCTCAGTGAGACGAAAAAAGAACTGACATTTTACAGAAAGGAGTGTGAAAAACTTAAAAAACAGAAAGAGGATTGAGGAGAGGACTTTAACTGTTGCTGCAGTAACCCTCATTACTGGACTTTGATTCTTTGAAGGCAGAGGGCAGCAAGTGCACAGGATCTGAGGACGCCGAATGATATGATGTGATAAAACTGACATGGGATGATAAAACTGACATGGGACATGTCACTTTAATGATGGAATGAGGTCACTGATAAGACTGTACTAAAACATTGTATGGTCACTCCATTCAGCTTATTAGTGACAACACTGCAACATTGAACAGAATCAGATGTACAGTGTACAGAGTTGTTATGACTGTGTAAGTGATTGTGGATTGCGTAAGAATGTATTATTTCATTCATAGTGATATATCTTCAAAGGGTTAAAATGGTTACAAAAAAAATCACAAAATTGAAAAAACAAAACTGTTGTTTAAGTGTGAGTATGCCAGCTTTATTGTGCTTTGTGGATAGCCACAGTGCTGATGCATTTTAAACATTACTCAAAGAGTGCAATTATATTCTTTGTGCAATGAAGTCTGTTAAGTTAGTGTAATTTGCTTACAGCCATTAATAAGAAGAGGTCACCATTGCACAAACTCATAACATCATTTAAGAATGTAAGAAATAAATATTCCATCTTTTAGATGTGATAAGTAGCCTATGCAAAGCTCACAGGAGCCCTGCTTAACCATCAAAAGGCTATCTTTAGAAGAAATCTCGACTTTGTCATGTAACATGGACTATGTTAAGTTTTAAACTTTTTTTAATATGTAACTTATTTGTAACATAAGGTTAAGTGAACAAGTGAAAAACAAACAAAAAAGCAACAAGACAGGCAACCAACAAAGCCTCAATAACTCGTTAGTTCCCTGTCACTGCTACTCTAATTTTTATAGATAATTATTTTACCAGTGACAGGGATCTTATGAAGAGTAAGGCATTTAAATATATTAATTATAGAAAAAAAACCTTTCCATTTTAAGGAAAGAAAAAAAAATTGTAAAAAACTAAAGTTATAAAAAAAATACCAAAGGCCAGATACAATTGAATCTGAGCCTCAGATAGTGACATTGCTGACTAAATGTCTCTTTGTCAAGGTTGGATCAAGTTTGACTTGAAAGATCATTGTGAAAGATCTGCTATTATAGGATAGGGTTATATTCGCAAGGAGACATCTAGTCATACCTCAAAACCATCAGGGGCAGTCAGAATTAACTGATCTGTAAGCCCTGTGAAAGACTTCCCAACTTTGCCAGTAAGAAGGACATGAGAAAAACAAGTAGACCCAAAAGTTTATCAAATGTATTTAATTATTCTTGAGTGTTCTTTTAGTTGTTTGCAAACCTCTTACATGAAAAAGTGATGAAGAGGTTCTTTTTTATTGATCAAGTTTGCTATTGTAAAACAGTGGATACTTGTATTTTATATTCCTCTGTAATAGATCCTGTTATTTATATTGGTATGTTATCCAACTTTTACTCAGGTGTTTGTAACAAATCTGCAGATTTTTAAATTAGCCTTTTAGACAACTTTAGTGTGAATGTGAACTGTATGCACGAGGAAAAGATTTATTTTTATTTGTTAATGTTTTGTAAATTAAAAGTGTAAATAATGTACAAAGTAATAATAATATGAATGGGAGAGAGCAAGAGCGAATGTGAAGAATTTTAAATACAAAACCATTGTTTTAAATGGTAATTATACAATATTTAGAACACCAATATTATATGTTTGATAATCTTTTGGGTTGAATATGATGATGATGCTCACTGCAGCATTTGATATGCATTTTGTGTTGTTCCCTCCAGACATGCCTGGGCTTGCTTCTCTTGAGCAAGGAATTGAGAATGACTCATCAATTTATGCACCTGCAGGATTAATGAGTATGGTAGGCCTATCTTTGCTGTTTGGGACAACACACAATTAAGTTACTTTTCCAAGTATTAAATACTGTGAATTGTAATGAGGAGATGTTTGAAAAAGAAATGAATGGATGTGGAAATTAAAGCATTGAAAAATCCATCTACTGGTTTTGTTTTGTGCAATGTTTTACACGTTTTTCTGACTTTCTTATTATTTGACCCAAATCTCGTCAATGGGCCCTTATGTTTAATCGCGAATTGCGAGTAGGAACTAGTTTTTAAAATATGGAAAATTTTAATCCTGTGAGTAATAATCACACAACCGCATTTATTTTGATGCCAGTCTCAATAAATAAATAGGTTTTCTCACTAAAAATATGTATTTTATAACTGGGAGCGGCAAGATTCCAAGAAATACAACAGAACAACGGGTTACCAAAAAAGGAAAAGAAAAAAGTCACCTTACCTTACATACAACCCCAGCTACGTGGATCTGTTCTTACGTTGTTCGTCCTGGCGCATATAACGCTGATGTAGTACCGTAGGGATAACCTCGACGTTTTATAGCGTGAAATGTGCATAGGCAAGCTATTTTGACCCTCTCTTCGGCCAACGCTGTGCCAACGTTTGCTTTGGTCAGCTATTTTGTACCTACATGTACCGGTGACTATTGAATACCACTAACTGGGAGGAGGGGGGTGTAAAAGGCACATTCTATGTAGTTTTCTACATTATTGGGAGTGTTACATGGTAAATTTCGCAGAAAATTTGATGCCTGAGATGAACAGCATTGGTTTTTTACGTCGATTTAGAGGGTTTAGACCCATACGGCTATACGGGTCAGCAGTGTGAAAGATAACATGAACGAACAGAGCCAGCTACAAATAGGCTATTATATCACGCTGTGTATGTGATTTACGTATGCATTATCACCATATCACGATTCATCAAGCTTATAATAAAGCGGATTGCAAACTGTAACGAAGTATTGAAATGTGTAAGGCGCCTTTGAAAAGGTTTTGTAGGAGTGCCACATCATTATTTAACCTTTTTAAACCCGTTTAACCGAAGGAATGCCGTTTTCGTTTACTCGGGGAATCCCCCTGGAAAATCCTACAACGAGAGAACCCAGACCATATAGGCCTATATATATATACAGGTAATTGGTTAGAGCACGTAAGGAGTAATCGGAGTTTATATTTTTCAAATATGTGATAAAACAAGCGGGTACGTCAGCGGTAAATATTTTAAACGTAAATCGAGTCTCCGGGCAGGGTTGATCACGTACTACAGTGGCGGATTTAGAGAGGGGGGGGGGTCAGGGGGGTCCTGGTCTAGGGGGTAAAGGGGGTCCTGAACCCCCCTCCTTCAAATAATCCTGGATCCGCCCCTGTACTAGCTACGAAGTTTCACGTCTTTCACCTGTGTCACGCTAGCACACAGTGCTGATATCACAGTGATGTCATCACATATGGTTCATATTATCAGAGATCGAAAGTAGTACTAGAAGTGATAACGCAAGCAAGCCCTTACGTGCTACGGGGTCGCTGGGAATTCGAAAAATATTCCGTGGAAGTCAAATTTACAAGAGCAAATAAAAGGTAAAATGAACGTATTACCAGTTATAACAATTAATTATATTTAGACTCTGTAACTGATGCACGTCTACCGGTGTAACATTAACGGTAGTCCGATAGGAACCGCAGTCCGTTCTCCATTACTTCATGTTACTTTGTAAACATGTGACATCCGTTTCATAAACTGATCTCAATACTTCTACTAACCCCAACCTGAACCAATCATATGGGACCCGGACTCCCATTCATAGGACTGCCATTCCTGTCACACCGGTCTCAACTATTTCCATTGTATTTAGGAAAGCGACCACAGTATAGTCAGCTTCCTTCAAACGTATTTATGTATGTCAGCCATGTACGCCAATCAGGTTTTCGACAACCCTACCAGTACCCTCTCGACTAAATGCATGTGATTACCTTTAAGAATCATCTGTGAAGTATAAGAACGAGAGAAAAAGTGTATGAGGGTTAATAACAGGTATTACAAGTACTTTTGTTATTTTGAAATGGAACTTTTTCATAGTATATTGTTTTATTTTCGGTTTCCGGGTTTCCACAGATTTTCGGTAGCTTTTTTTAGATAAGGGAAGCTGTCGAAAACGAGGCAGTGCAGTATGAATTATATGTGGTTTGAGGATAATACCTCCTTCAAGCCACTGCAGGATCTTCAGCAATTTATGGCGCCAAAATTTTCTACGCATTGATGAAGTTAGCTTTGTATACTATTTATCGATCATTATTTTTATTAAGCTACACATATATATATACGTATGTACAGACCATATTTGCATATCACAACGTTATCTACTTGGGGGCACGGGACACAAGCACATGTGTAGGGCCTGGATATGTACTTCACGTGTTCATCCACGTTTCCGATACAAATGTCACAAAGCCATCGTCAGATAAGTCAGCAATTGGATTAATGAAAACGTCTCTTTTTTAATTGCAGATAAAAGAGAGTTTAGACACTAACGTTTTTCCGTGGCAATTTTCTTCCTTCACATGTAGTAAACGTACGCGTTTAAGATTTGTATGTGTTCCGATTTAGAAATGAGAAATTATACAAAATCTCACATCTCGAACCCAAACTGCCTTCTTTTTCATTTCACTAAAGTAGATTAGTAAAATTTGCCAAAAATTGACTTCGTCGCCATGTACGTGTTATTTAAATTTGATTGTTTTTAAATGTGACATAAAAAAAGTTAAAAACAATTCACCTAACATCATTTCCCCAAACAGAAGCAGCCTCCAGATCTATTGAAATGAAATGTGTAAAGCTTTTGGCCACCACTGCAAATTTATAGAGAAAATGGATAACTGAGAACATATGAAGTCGAAGGATTTTCAGATGCACCCTAAACAAACCAGTAACTCCAAACCTGACAAAAATTAGAACTGGAACCCATGATTTCATAAAGCAAACCCTCTAGAAAAAAGAATATGTAGACTGTTCGGACATCGAGTGGAGAACGAAGTCCTTTTTCTCTTGCAGTGTCCCCATTGTAGATTTATTGATGACTTGGTGCTCGGGTAGCTGAGAAAATGATGAAGTGTCATGTTGTCATGGTTCATTGCACATGGGTTAGACTTCATGCAAAAGTGGACCAAATACACATTGAGTAATACTCAGTGCGGATATCTGCACATTTTGAGGATTGGTTTGGAGGCTTATATAATTATAACCCAAAAAAGGCCACCATTGTTGTTAGTCCAGTGTCATGTCACGCCTTTGGCTTCGTTCACATGGAATGTCTATTTTCTAAAAATCTATTTTCTATTCGCGGCATCTTATGATCACGGTCTGTGCCCTGAATATCCCGCCGCGTAATTACTGGCAGCGCGAGCCAGTTTCTTATAGTATTACTATAAGTTAAACTTATATATAGTAACTGGCTCGCGCTGCCAGTAATTACGCCGCGGGATATTCAGGGCACAGACCGTGATCACAAGATATACCGCGAATAGAAAATAGATTTTTAGAAAATAGACTTTCCATGTGAACGAAGCCTTTCATGTGAACAATGTGCGTCTCTGGGCACCAGGTTCTCATTATACATGTATCCTCAACTGAAACAATCTAAGATGCAACAGATTTGGCTGAACATTGATAAGATACAGTGTATGCGCGCCTTCGGGTGTGTGAGGTTGTGTGTGAAAATGGGTGTATGAATGTGCATGTAGGCCTATTATATTAAGATACACAACCATAAATGGCTCTAGTTTGTATACTAGTGCACTGTATCACCTTGGGTCTTCTGTAATGTACTGTAGGTTTTTGTATATATTGTATTGCACGTTTTACAATATTAGATGAATATTCCAGTGACTTAGCACCCTTATTATAGTTTTTGCGTGTACTACAGTGTATGTGCGCCTTCGGGTGTGTGAGGCAGTGTGTGAAAATGTGTGTATGAATGTGCATGTATTATATTAAGATACACAACCATTAATGTATCTAGTTTGTATACTGGTGCACTGTATCACCTTGCTTTGTTAGGTATTGTTCAGATTGGGTCTTTGTAATGTACTGTAGGTTTTTGTATATATTGTATTGTACGTTCTACAATATTAGATTGATATTTCAGTGACTGCGCACCTGTGAATGTGAATGTGCATGTACTGTATTAAGTTACACAACTGTATTGGTGTAGTGTATCATTTCGTATTTGTATTTGTAACGTAATGTGCTTTCTGATTCTGTGATGCATTGCATGTTTTTGTATGTTTGTATATATTGTAATGCATTGTATTGTGTTTGTAAATGTATATGCTTAATAAAAAAATATTATTATTATTATTATTCTTATTATTATTATCTTAATTCATTCAAACTACTTAGGTGACCTTTTCCGACGTCGACAAGATGGAACATTGGAACTGGATGAGAAAACAATTTGTGATCACAGTTATAATACTACAGTGCGTGTGTCACGGGTATGTTGATGATGATGTTTATTTGGAGCTGGAGATGGAAAATAATGCGACAGATCTAGACTCGTACTGCACTTCGCCTCGTGACAAAACTTTACCGGACCCTGACTGGGGAAACTGCACCCCAAAACCCGAGGACTATCTTCGTTGTGTATACTATAGAACCAATGCCTCGGCTACGTCTGCCGTCATTCGCAAACACTACCTAAATAGGACCGATGCTGCAGCGTCAGACTATGTGCTTCTCGTTGGTCGGCCGCTCATTTATTGTATTGGACTGGTTTGCAATATTCTGTCCATTTGTGTTTTCTCCCAAAAAGAGCTCCGCCAAGTTGCGACCTGTCAGTTCATGATTGCAATAGCAGTGTTTGACATTATAACTATTATGAACGGATTTTTTATTGGACTGAATACGAGCTCCTCGTACCAGTTATGACTTCACATGTGGCTCTGTGTAAAATCTCCGTTTTTACAATTTACTGTGCACCAGAAATAAGTGCGATCACGCTGACCGTCATGAGCGCCGAGAGACTTATGAGAAAGTTGAACACTCCCGCTCACGAAAGATGGTTCTCTATAAGAAGAACCCGTTTGTACATCGTGGCTATTGTTTTGACTATGGTGCTCCTTAACATCTACATCTTTGTCTCCGACATTTATTTTGAGGAATGTTGTGAGAGGATTTGTTGGAATATATATCATGATGGAACTCACGTACTGGACCTTCATGAGAAAAACTGCAGAGAACACATAGAAAATGACTGTGGTAAGTATACTTTACATAAGCCGTACTGCTGTGGTATATCCAAATTGGCCGTCGCTTTTTCACCTGCGACTCCGCCAAACAAGTCTACGCGTCGTAAATGTCATTATCTTTTTTTTTTTTTTTTTGACATTTTGTAAACCGAGGTCATTTTCGCCACAGGTTTCATAAGGTCATGGTCTTTTTCATTTAAACTGAGGTGGGTGAACTGTAGGTTTTCTGTCGTTATTTAATGTTATTTCCTTAAGAACAATATGAGATAGACTTTTTTCATTAATTTAAGACAATGCAAATTTTTTTATTAAAATGATTTTCTAAAATAAGTCTGAATAGCAGCCAAGAAAACCGAAGTATTTTGAGAGAAGAAAATATCTGATAAGAGTGAATCTATATGGAAACATACGGTAAAGGGGCGTTTATAATACACATTGCCAATAAAAACGTCACTTCGATGTCATTTTCAGGTCATACGGGTGCGCTTGCCTTCTTCAAGGTCTACAGATGGGTGGCTCTTTCAATATACTGGATCTTGCCATTTGTTGGGTTGCCTGTCATCAACGGATGGTTATTGTACGAATTATGGAAGGAGCGCCAACGACGTAACAATCAAGAATGCAGGCCGATCATTCCCATGCCAGACCTACCTGTTCATGGCTCGGAATACGAAGAGAGAGATAAAGAAATTACGAAAATGTTAATACTCGTGACTCTTTCGTATTGGGTTATGACAACAGGGTTTAACTTCATGCAGGCGGGAATAATTGACGTGTACCACGCCTGCACCCCCGATGAACTGGTTAGAAATTCTACCATCTATTCGATTTTTATGCTTCTCTTTTACTTGAATCATGCGTCGAATTTTTTTCTGTACTGCATCAGTGCTAAACCGTACCGCGACGAAGTAAAATGTATGTTTGCGCGCGTATACAGAGCTTTGTGTAAGAAAGCGTCATACATCAGAGTACGTTATTCGAAAAACAAAAATGAGGAGACAGACCCACATTTATGAACCTCACAGAACGATTGGACAAGTTGACCAACTAAAAAGGGTTTAATATAGGACCGCTAAACTTGTCGGCAAATCCTGTATTTTATCAGCATTTCAGCTTAAAAAGATTCACAATTTGTACTTGTATTGGGTACGTTTAGTCGTAAGTGGTACATAATTAATATACATTAATTTGCATATAATAAAATAATATAGAGTACAAATGTAAACTTACTATGCCCCTACGCACAACACCATCCAATGACGTATTGTAGTGGATAAATTTTACATATCTGGCATTTCAATATTATCTTACACCTATCAAGTAGTAGTCCTGTAAACATGGCACATTTTAGTTATTTGATGCTCACCAATCACACAACTAGTTTCACTTTGGCATAGAAAACTAGTATGCTTTAATTTTAAACAACTGTAACCAATATGCAATCATATACGACAGTGAAAATGCATCATAAATTGCCCTCTCTTACGAAGACAATATGTTTGTTCTAAAAAGTTTATTTGTCAGTTTAACATTATATAAAAAATTAGTAATACTTAACATTTATGAATTTCAGGAAATACTGCTAACAAGATCTTTATTTGTAGTTATAAATAAATTTTTACTATAATTTCCTTATTGTATTAGAGAACCAAGGAAGTTATTTGCTAATGTGGCATTTAGCTTTGTAAAAGTTGGCAAAACTTTTGAAATAGTCTCAAAGGAAAATATGCGCTTGGTTAGGTAGATTTAAGGTATGTTAATTTATATTGGAAATCTTTTTTCAATATTGTAATTTTGTTGTAGAGTGCAAATTCGTTTTTCTTCAATTATTAAAAATGTTTATTTATATTATTCAATATTCTTAGTATCTATCAATTTACTTGGATAAAAATGGAATGTGTACCTATACATACTATTACACTGAAACAACCTGCACGAAAATGCAGTAGTATCGAAGTAGCAAAGAAGCATTAATGCAGTAGTTGTGTGGAGCATATTTTCAGTAGAAATGCAATATAGCCTACTGCAATTCTACTCCAAGAAGTACGTAGATTTGTACAGAGAGGAGCATTAATGCAGTAGATTAGCAGCATGATAGAAGCATGTTTCAAATATGCTAATTAGCTCCCAAATTGAAGCAGATTTGAAGCATGTTTGCAGTAGTCTACTGCGTTTTCGTGTGGGTAAAAGTCAGGAAGTGGTCAACTCATAGTAAGGATAGTCACTTTTACAGAATAGAACCAGATATTCCATTTACATTACATCTCATGAAATACTGTGAACCATATTTCTGAAATTTAATATCCATAAAAAATGAATAACTAAAATTCAATACAGAAAATTAAAAAAATCTGGCATTTATATGACAAAGAGTTAATTTTATCAAGGAGAGAGAAAGTATGTTTAGAATAGATGAATTAAATGAGGATTCATGCTACACTCTTCCCTTCTTGATCCTGACACTTAACAGTTTGAATTAAAATGAATAAAAGATACAGATAATGAAGGTCTGTTATGATTCTCAACTTTTCTCTTTCAAATCTAACAGTTCAAATCTTCCCATTGCTTCTGACACCATCTTTTTCACTGAGTTCCCACAATGCATTGCACAGTTTTTCTTTAAATGTCTTCTCTGCTGGGAGACAGCGACAACAGTTGTTAAAATACATCCCTCCGTATCCATCTATCTCAAGAGCTGTGGCACAGAACACAGTTGTAGCAGCACCTTGTTGCTGATATCACAAAAAAAGATAAAATTATTTTTAACCAGCACCTATACCAATAAATTAAACATTGGGTGGCATTCATGTAATGACAATTTTGATAAGTAAAACTTACATTATCTTTCACATGCCATAATCAGGGATGCATCTGCCGTAAAGTGAAAAAGTCCAAAAATACCTAGGCCAATGATATTTTTGGCTCTCAAAAAGTCTGAAGTCCACCGATTGTCAAAGAAATCTCATCCCTGTATAATCTTATAATAAACAATTACGTGTGACAAGATTATCAATCACATTTCATACATTTACCTAGACATCTTGGTGACTCACCATTGATTTAGTAAATGGGCGTGCGAGTCCAAAGAGCAGCGTCCAGACCCACCAGCTTCGATGTAAATTGGTGTACATCATGTTTCCTGGGTGACAGGAGTTGGTCCACACCCTAAACTTGCTCAGCCTTGCATGGAGCCCATGGGCAAATAGCACATTGCACAGTTTTGAAAGGTTATAGGCATACATGGCCGTGTAGTTGTCTTTATCGGGTGATAATTTCTGAATGGAAATATTATCTAAATCAAGGTCTGAGAATCTGTAATAAAGAAATAGATTGATAATGGTCGCTGTAACTGCGGTATGAAAACAATGCAGGACTGGTATTTGTGATTTGTGTCTTTATCAAGAACAATGAAAAAAAATTTTTTTCAAAACCAGCCCAACAACAGAACGATGTCAGAAAATGTAAGAATAAATTTCAAGAAAACAAAAATAAATAAATAAAACAAAATGTATAACTTCCTTCCCAAAAATACAACAAGCTTAGCACTTGGCTAAAACTTGAAATTTTTTGAGCAAGTTCAAGCTTGGTTAGAAAATCAAAGTAATTCACGTACAATTTGGGCCACAGCACTGTACCTGTGTGATTCCGATGAAACAACCACTACTTTTGCCGGAGCTGATCGTATCAACACCTCTTCCAGTAACTGTGTTAGGAAGAAGTGGCCCAGATAGTTGACTTGAAATGTGGTTTCATATCCATCTTCTGTTAACTCATGTGGCACACCAAACACTGCTGCATTCAATATCAGAATATGCAATGGCCTGCAAGCAAATCATTTTAACTATAAATATAAAATGCTTTGGAACTACACACATCTTTTATTACTTTACAAGTACACTGTTCACTCCAGACTTCTGCTTTGAAATATATATAAATGCTTACAAGAACAGATTAAGTATTTGAAAACTGATCTTTGAGGCAATGTGTACAAATTCTTCAGGACCTACAGTGTCTTTTTGCTTTAACTTCTTTTTCACAATAACTGACATGTTGCCCATCATCCCTCCTTCATTCTTCAGCCTTCTCCTGCACAGATTTCAGAGTGACCAAGTCACTGTGTGTGTGTGTGTGTGTGTGTGTGTGTGTGTGAGAGAGAGAGAGAGAGAGAGATTATGACCAACAGTCCAGTTTATTTAACTTTTCTATTACTAACTACTGAAATCAGGCATACCCAACTACCAGACTCAGCACCAAATGATCCTTAATTCACCAGTAGATCGGACCACACTACCCGTTTTCAAGGTGTGCGTCAGTATGCGCTTCGAAGTATCAGATGCGACACTGCTCTTGCCCAGTACGCGAGGTGATAGTGATAATTCTCAGCGTGGTTGGAAAGTAGCGCATCTCATCTCAAAATTTGTTCTGGGGTATGATACTGTGTAATGCGTACTGACACACACCTTGAAAACGGGTAGTGTGGTCCAATCTACTGGTGAATTCAGGATCCTTCAGTGCCAAGTCTGGTAGATGGGTAGGCCTGGACATGTTACCAGTCATTCCTCTTGTACTCCTCAGCAAACTCTTGCACAGACTTCAGAGAGGCCAGGTCCAGTCTCATGGCCACCACTTGGGCCACTTTTCTTTCTTTTTGTATTCTCTCCACAGCATCATGAGCCTTCTTCATGTCACGGCAGGCCAGGGTGACGTGGGCCCCATGGAGGGCCATAGAACGGGCCGTCTCAAACCCTGTGAGAGAAAATAGCAGATTTTAGGCACCCCTATTATAATAATATAAATTTGCTTGTTTCTTTTTCTTGTCTTTCATTTTTTAATACAGTTAACCTCATGTCACTTCACTGACTGTATAACTTATGCAACTTCTGAGGTACAATCATCAATGAAGGTTACATTTATAAAAATATAACTTAACAGAACACTAATTTAAAAAGCATATATTACAATAATTGTGACATTTGGAGGATCTCTAATCTACAATGTACTAATTACACAAAAACAAAGGTAAACATTAAAATATAATATGATACAATCAGGGTTAATTTACATTTGCAAAATGCGCAAGAAGTCCATAGCAATTTTTTTACACCAGGTGCATGTCATTAGTTTGGGGAAATTACAAGAGAAATATGATATGAAAAGTTATCCATTTCTCACCTATTCCACCATTGGCTCCAGTCACAATGACATACTTCCCAGTGAGGTCTCTCCCCTGGAGCACCTGCTCTGCAGTACTACTGGCATCAAACCTCTGTTTAAACTCCAGCAGGTTGTTCCCAGTGTCTTCTACAGCAAAAGCAAGGCGAGGGTCAGTGTAAGTGACTTTCTCATTGATGTGGCTGTAAGAAAGAGCACATGGAACATATCAAATTTTATCACTATTAGTGACTGAGGATGGGTGGTAATATCACATAGAGAAAACTGACCTTGTGAATAAAGGAAAGTTTACTTTGTGAAGTTTAATTCCAAATTAAAAAATTTCCTTGTGATGTTTAAGCTAGGTGACTCATAACTCAGTTGTCAAATATTAAACTAAGAAGAGCCTTGTTTGCAATATAAGACAATTCTGTGTGCTGGGTGAAGTTCCAACATCTATATGACAAGGAGCTGATGATAATACATATCAAGTATGAGAAGGCATAATCAGACATTTACAGCTGGGTGAATGGCTGCACAGGGAGATCTTACTCAACATAATACACCTGTCCATTGTCTTTGAGCTTCCTTTCCCAACCATATGGAAGTTCTGAAATGAATCACAGAAAAAAAAAACATTCAAATCAGTTTTTTAAAGTTCTGCTAACCTGCAACTATTTAAATTGTATGAACTTAGCAACCCTGAACTGATGTAAAATATATCCAACTTATTCTGTTTTTTTTTCTTTTCTTTCTTTCTTTTATTATTATTTTTTTCATATAGTAAGATCTCTTAGAATAAATGACAAATTAAAAACATACCTCCTGTTATCCTTTTCTTTTTACCAGTTGTAGGATGCTCCCATTGTGTGGACTTGGTACTATGACTGGAAATGAAATATAAAACATGAAAATAGTAATTATTTTCACTACATACTACTGTATATGGGCAACTTAAAAACTGTAATGAAAATGAACCATACATGTATACATCTGCTGCTGCATAACCTGGGCTGGACATAGTGCATTAGTAAGAAGCATCTTCCTAAAAATGCAAATCAGATATGATTCTATAACAACCAGTCATACTTGTAATAAACCTTGTAGATGAAATTGAAGCAGATTTTTGTCGAGATGTAGATGGGGTTCAGACAACACAAAGTTAAAAATGTTACATCCTACAAATGAAACAAGGAGCCTAGAATACTACATGAGTTTTCCTCACTTTGCATAGTAAACCCTTCCTTCCAAGGTGACTCTCTCTTCCCAGCCAGCAGGAATTTCATCTTCACTGTCGGTGTCTAGTGCTCCAGCTGTAGCCATTTGTTTTCAGTTCGTCAAATCGAGGCTGGGGATTCCCAAATTGAACACATTATTACTCCACAATTAACAGGATTGCATGTAAACACTAAGTAAGGTTGAACGCCTTATAAAATATTCATGTGGTGCATGTTCTTAAATTTATTGAAGGGTGTAAATTACCCGGCACACATGTATTTAACGACAACCTGAAATGGGAAAAAAATTGACCTTTATTCAGCCTTGAAAACCTTGCGCCAAACGAAACTGTATATAGATATCTATTAACAGGTATATATTAAGTAAAAGACTTATAAAACCCTATCGAAATATGTTGAAAATTGGCTGAATAGCCTAACCTTTCGAAAACGGTCTGGTAGCATTATTTCTCTTAGCATTACTTTATTCCTCGTAAGAGCATCGACTTGGGTGTTCCACGGCTCCATCTCGACCATATTGCTGATAATTGTCTAGTTGAGTTGGCAGTTCATCTTGGCCGATAGTGTAGAGAGTACACTGAAGGAGGTCTCAGGTATGGTACTGCCATATAGCATATAGATATTGATGTTTGATTGCCATGTCATTTCTCATGCATTGCATCAGTAAGGTAAAGTACGGCAAATTGTTTGTGTTGCCGGTTCAGTTGGCATGAATGATCAAGATGGATGTCCTTGCTTTACCATTGCATCAGAAAATGACAGTGGTGTTTGGGGTGTATTTAAAATGAACCTTAGTTGACAGTGGTGTTAAACGCAATATGTATTCCTCGCGATCATAAAGTTTGTTGTCAGTTCAATATCACTGACTAAACACATTCTCAACCTAACTTCCGAAAGTTCTTGGATTTGCCTAAATTACCTTTATCTTGATTTGATTCCCAAAAACATACACAGAAGGAAGATCACAGGTATGTCAGTTACGTGTACCTACATTAAGTTTGGAATTTTTGAAAATGAAATAGCATCAACAGTTATTATTATCTTATATTATGTTAACTTGATATGTCATTGATTATGGACATTTTATGGATGCTTTTAATTTCACTGTTCTTTTGCCAGATATTATTAATTTGAGCTTGTCATTTGATATAAACTGTGTAGAAATAAGTCAAAATTTTTGCTATCTTTTTGAACAGAAGAGATAAACATATAAACCAAAATCTTGATATTTGTTGCATCAGCTACAGTAGAAGATGTTGTGACTAGACAACATTAACTTGTGGAACTACAGTTAATGGGGGAATAGCACACAAAACAATAAAAAGCAATTTAATGCTAGAAATGCAACAATACCTGACCAGATATGTGATGGCTGTCAATATTTGGTATGCAGTGAGAAAGCTCACGAGAATTGTACAAACTAGTCAGATAATTACTTCCTGCACACTTTTACAGTAAGCTGATATTAGCTTGTAAATAATGTTATTGATAGAAGGAAAAACCAAAGCTTTAATTTTATTTTGATTTATGAAGTCTGATGCTAGATTTTATTATTACATTTTCAAATTGTGTGGTTTAAAATGTAATTTTACAAAAAGGAGTGTAGTTTATTTGTTTGTCAAGATTGCATGTTAAAAACTCTTGGGCCAATTATCTATGTAACATAAGACTCATTGAACATTCCCTTGTCTGAAAACATTACAGGGTCAATTGGCCTTAAGCTTAATGATGTTTTTCATGCAGGAATCCTGTAATGTTTTAGAGACATAATGGTGGTTATTGGTTATAAAAAAGGGGCCTTGATGCATTTTTATGCTGCAATGACATGCTTTGTACAATAGATGCTTTGTAACATACAGATGCTATCAGTGTTTGTCTCTTTGGGTACCAAAAGTAATTAGGGATTAGTAGTTCTAAGCAGCATTTAGCATTATAACCTTGTAGATTAACAGGTATTATTTGTGATCACTATGTACTAGTAATGGAATGATTTTAAGTTCCAGTTTCAGGTTTGTGCTGTTTGTTGCAAGAGTTTATGCAATTGCATGCATTTATATTTGATTTATAGATGTAGAGAGTTCTTAAGGCATGGGCTCATGAAGGAATCATTTTGGTATGCAGTTGGTACTGAATTTTTGGTCACTAAAACACATTTTGTCTTAAATGAACAAGATCATTTTCATGGAACTCAAAAATGAAAATGCCAAAAAAAAAAATTCAAACGTAATGATTCACTGGACAAAGAAAATCTTTCAGATGTGTGGCTAAATCACCAAACGTGATTGTGATCTTAGTAAATATTATGTGGTCAATGTGTTGCCAAAAGGAAAAAAAAAGTAGGTATTTCTCTGATTTCAGCCACAATGGACCAGAATATGAGTGGTAATGATGTGCGTAAAGCCTTCATAGATTTCTTTGCTGAGAAGGAGCATCTTTACGTCCATTCCTCCTCCGTCATTCCTCATGAAGATCCCACGCTGCTGTTTGCCAATGCTGGCATGAACCAGGTAATGTCTGTGAAATTGTGCGTGCGTGCAAGCACGTGTGTGTTACTGTCGATGGGGAAAGGGGTGCATCAGGTTGACTTGATGAATTTTATGTTGTTTTTATAAGAAGCAAGTGCTTACAAGGTGTTGTCTCAACATAAGGTACTGTCTCTTCTTTCAAATTGATGTTCACTTTTTCTCTGAAGATTGCCAGCAAGATAATAACAAAAATTAAATATGGTACCATTAAGAAGTTCTATTTTTGTCAGTCTAAGGTTTTAAAAAAAGTAAAGAAAATACAGTTAGATATGGACTCAACTTATAGAATAGATAAATATTCTTCTTTTTAAGAATTGTATAATACTCTTCTGTTTTAAAAACTTATTTAATATCTTATTGTTTATTTCTTGCCTAGTTTAAACCCATATTCTTGGGCACAGTTGATCCCAATAGTGACATGTCTAAGTGGGTTAGAGCCGCTAACAGCCAGAAGTGTATCCGAGCAGGAGGGAAACACAACGATCTGGACGACGTCGGCAAGGACGTGTACCATCACACCTTCTTTGAAATGTTGGGAAATTGGTCATTTGGAGACTATTTCAAGGTGGGTTTAGTGTTTGGAAAAAAAGTTTTTTTTTGTAGTGAAATTGATTTTATATAGAAAATTGTTATATGTTTTGATAAGTGCTGAAGAATTTTGCAGTAAGATGGAATTTTGCAATTATAAAACTTTTGAAAAATGTTATGAAAACCTGGCTTTTACCTTAATTGGTATAATTATATGCAAAATTAAACATGATCCTATTTAAAGATTTGACAAGCTGATACCTTTTGAACCAAGTAAATGTTGTTGTACTTGCTGTGGTTTGTGGCCTTGGACATCATTTCTCATAGCAAATATTATAAGTGTTTTAAGCTGTTTTTGTTTTCATCTATTGGTTAATTTTCATCATGTAGAAAGAGGTATGTGCATGGGCGTGGGAATTTCTGACAGAAAGGATGAAGCTAGAAAAGGACCGTCTGTACGTCACATATTTTGGAGGACATGAGCCGTCAGGTTTGGAACCTGATGAAGAAGCTAAGGAAATTTGGATAAAACTGGGGTATGTCTCACAAATATTTTGTAAAAAAATCATACAGCTACATACCTAGAAATGTGACTGTGGCAATATATGCTTTCGTCAGTTTAAGGGTTTTTTTTTTTTTTTCGGTGAAATCAAAGTGTTTTCTCGTGGTATGTATGGCAAGTAATACCCTGCCACCCTCTGTAACACCTCAGGCATCAGTGATAGGTATTCTGGCATATATAGCTCAGGTGCCAGCGTATTATCTCACACATTTTTAAACGCTTCATTGCTCTGGATTTATTGATGTTTTATTTTGGGCTTTTAAGTTTTAGTTGAGACAAAGTTATTAGACTCAATATAAACGGCCAATAAAAAGTCAACGTTTTATACAGTTTCAATGTTCTGTTGCAGTCTTCCTGCTGATAGAGTTCTGCCGTTTGACATGAAGGATAATTTCTGGGAGATGGGGGAGACGGGACCGTGTGGACCCTGCTCAGAGATCCACTATGACAGGATCGGAGGCAGAGATGCCAAACACCTTGTCAACATGGACGACCCGGATGTCCTGGAAATTTGGAACTTAGTGTTCATTCAGTATAACAGGTATACTTTGTCAAAGAATTTACTCCAGATGTGGGAATTATCTTTAAGTTTTCTGGACAAAATATATATTTTAGATATAATAATGAGTTCAAAACAAGGGTTTTCCCAGTGAACCACCCAGCTGTCATTTGGACGGCCTCCAGCATCACCGGACAGCCTGTATGTTCAAAGAGGGCTGGATGGCTTATGAAATTTTGAGAAATATGATGGCTTTAGGTATACTTGGACTACTTGAAATTTTGTAGGAAATTACATGTGGTAGTTTTGGATGGCCTGTGGCCCCAATCCTGGGAAAAGCCCTATTTCAAAAAGACGTTTCTAGCACTTGTGAATGCTTGTGAATTCTCTGGATGTTACCAAGTCCAAGTCGGCATTATGTAGATTTTTTAAAATAATGAAGTTGAGCCAAGATTCAAAAGATTCAAAACCAGGTCAGCTTTATGTGGTGTTTTTAAACTAAAAAAGTTGAAACATTAATCTTTTCAATTGTTTTCCATAGAGAAAATGATGGGTCCCTGAAGCTCCTCCCTTCAAAGCACATTGACTGTGGCATGGGCCTGGAGAGACTGGTCTCCGTGGTGCAGCAGAAGATGTCCAACTACGACACTGACATGTTCATGCCACTCTTTGACACCATTCAGAAGGTAGGTCATTACAATTAGGAGAATCAGAGTATGGTAGTGACATGTTAATGTCAATGTATGGCACCATTCAACAGGAGGGTTATTGCAACTGGTAAATCTTGAAAACTTACAGAGACAAACTCATTTGGTGGCAGACAAAATTCAGAATTTCAAAGTGAATTTTTTTAGTTTGTTGCCTGTTACCTTTTAAAGCTTATAAAGCAGCTATACAGATTGTATATTGTGAAGATTTCATTGTTACATAGGATGACTAAAAATCCTGCTGGGGACCAGCAATAAGCTGTATAGCACAATATGTAATGGTAAACAGCATTTTCAAAATTCAAATCCCAAAGTTAAAGATAGAGAAAACAGTTTCTCAATTTGGATCAGTACGTGGTTGTCCTGTAAATATTCATATTATTCATGTTAAGGTCATGAGTTTTTTTAATGAAATTCAACCACAGCTTTAAGTCTAGATCAGGGCCCCGTAACTCGAAAGCATTGCATATTGCGAATAGCGATATCACATAGAGGCTACAATGCATTATATGGGGCAAGTATGGGCGAGTTATGAAATCGAGATGCTTGCGCTCCGTCGCAATGCACAATGCTTTCTAGTTACAGGGCCCAGTTCTATGTGAAACTGGTGACAAAATTTTTTTATTTTAAGCTAAAGTGGTCTTTTTAAAAAATCTTTCACCATAAAAAGACATGGCATTTTATAATTGATATATTAAACTTCACAGAACACTGGAGCCCGTCCCTATGCAGGCAAGGTCGGCAAAGAGGACGCGGACGGAGTAGATATGGCGTACCGTGTGCTGGCAGATCATGCCAGGACGCTAACTGTCGCTTTATCTGACGGAGGGAGACCAGACAGCGTAGGAAGAGGGTGAGTGACAAGTATTTTTAGTGTGAGTGAACTTTCATGTGCCTGAACCTATTTTCTTATTGTTCGTGTTACCTGTTGTGCATGAAAAAAATTTGTTGTTGATTGTGCTGTTATGCATTATTTGTTATTGCATCAAAATTGAAAAATTGACCTGTTTTGTGCATCTTTATTATTTTAAAATTTATCCCATAAAGCTCTCTTCAAAAAGCCAAGATGTTGGCAATTTCTTTAACAACCAAAGACCTCAGCACGCATACAAATATGGGCGTGGTAGTCCACTGGATAGATGCGCAGGTAGCTAGCTGTAATGGGATGCGGCAGAGTGTTGATCACAACTGTGGTTTGGTCATCATTGCCTGTGAAAACCTGGAAAAAAAGAAAATGTGTTGATTTAACATTTTTTGTCTTGTCTTTTTGTCTTATGGTTGACAAAGACAATTTGACTATGATATGAACAGAGCTGGAATAATTAAGAGGGGGAGAAGGGGTCACCTATGAATCTAAGGATGGGAGAGCAATTGTTTCACTGTGCCCCTTTGAATATACTGTTAAAGTACTCACCACATCCTGAGAAATGAACTGGAATTGGCTCAGAGCATTGGTGAGATTCCCATACTTTATCTTGTAGCTCTTGACCCAGTGTGGAAAATTCATGCGTCCACCAGTGGCAATTGCTGTTATTATTTGGGGCCTCCCAAAATCAAATTGAATCCATTGGTTGGAGTCCATGACACGAGCACACCATGGCGTGCCAGTGTTGTTAAGACGCACAAGTCGTGGACCGTGAGCTGTGTTATATTCCGTAGATGCTGTTATTTGACTGTCTGATATCCCATTGGCGCCCGAGACCAGTGGTTTCCTGCAGGTGGCGACACTGCTTGTCCCGCCTTCTCCCTGCAGGTTGCTCACTTTCTCCGACAGCAGGTTCATTTGTTCCAGCAAGGACTCCATCTGTTCCTGTAGTTTGCACAGTTCTTGGCTTTTGGGGATGGTTAAGGTGTAGACATAGGCGTCATCACTGGTTACTGGACAATGTTTGTTGTCAGCACTGCATTGCAGAGTGAAGAAAGCTGCGGAGATGACACCTAACAGCCAGAATGACCAGCACATTTTCTAATCAGGTTGACGTCACCCAGGGAGGCGAAACTCGAGCTTGTGCCAGCTGCAAAATAATCCCTATGATGATACACAGGCACATATTTATATTATGCAATGATGATTGTCAGGAAATGATAGTAAATTGACTTATCCCTCTTTATCTTCTGAATTTCCTCTTTTTTCAGATTTTATTAATCAAGCCCTTTATAATGAATATTATAGATATGGAGTGCTTGTTTTTGAGGACATTAAGTAACTCACCTTTTCCTGTTCTTGGCCAGGATACAGTGCATCAAACTCTGTCTCCAGTCCTTTACTCCCAGTGGTTTCACAGTACAACTTGCTTGTTTTGTGGTGTAGAATTTATGAGGGTATTACCTGAAATATTTGTCTTATAAATTCCCATTGTGTCTGTAGAAATTATTTGTAATTCATGATCGTTATGAGTTGTGTTATTATAGCAAGAAAGTCCCCTTTTGTTGTTATCCGAAGAATATTTTGGAATAAGTGACTCAGAGGTATTTGAAAGTTTTCACCATGTGAGACCCACAGAGTGAGTATAATTTTTAGTGTCTTTTAACTTTTTTGTATGTTTGTTGGATTGTGCCCCAGTAGGTGCATTTTAAGTGGAGTGCTTGAATTTTCCAAGAAATGATGTTTTTGAGAAAGTTAAGACATAATTAAAAACTGCTGAGGTAGAAAGCTGAGTTCAGGGTTAGAATTATTGCTTCATTAGTAATTATTTATTCATCTACTCGATCTCGGTTTTTCATTCTTTTTCATTCTTCCCTTAATATATGAGTGATAATTTTCAAACCACTTTCATATCCTATCATATCCTGCTGGAGTAATTTTCTCGTGAAGAGCATGATTAGTTCCAACAATGTGAGCACTGGTAGTACTAAAGGTTTTAGGCCCATTGCCAACCCATCTCATCCACTGACCCCGCGACATGCCAATGTTTTTTGTCCAAAAATAACTTAGGGGTTTTAAGTTCCAAATTCAGGCCACATCATCTTGGCATCTGGTAGCCCTGCAGGTTGATCAGGTGGTGAAAGTAAACCTCTAGTGAATTTTTGTCTGTATCGGAGTTCCCTGGCTAAGTTGACTGGGATTTCCATGAGAGTGTTGTTCCTGATAGGGCAAGATGTGCACATGTGACCATGTAATGTTAGTATTATATTCTTTGACAGGGAACCTGGGGTCAGTTTATTTGTGAAATTGGGATCTGGTTAATTATTTCCTGTATCTGAATTCCATGAATGAAAGTGTTAACTTTCTGTTGACTTCTTGTGCTTCTACAAGAAAATTGGTGATTTTTTCGGGCATACTCAACCCTCTGGGATCCTGCTCTTTTTATCAAGAATAATTTGAGTGCTTTAACAATTTTTCTGCAATTTCTATATGATTTCTGTGAATTCAAAATATAATGAATAGGGCTTCAGATTTGAGTACTTTAGTCTATATTTCAAAGGAAAGCTAGCATGTATCTATCAATACATTCAGTGAGTATAAAATTCAAAAAGTAGATTGGATGGAGTTATGAAGTTAACAGTGGTTTTACCCGAGTTCTTTTTTGTATTTCAAGATATGTATTGAGAAGAATTCTTAGGCGTGGGGTCAGGTATGCCACGGAAAAACTTGGAGCCAAGCCAGGAACCTTTGCTTCTTTAGTGGACACTGTAGTTTTGTTATTGGTGAGTCTTTGTGATTTTTTTGATGGGAGAACTTTGAAAATGCTTTTATCTTAACAGAATATGATAATACATACAGTAGACTTATTGTACCTTATAGTTCAGATTTTTTTAGGGGAGGGGGGTCATGGCAATGTTCTAAAACTTTATAAGAATAATGCTATCTTTAATGTAAATTGGTTTTATAACTTTTTTGCAAGTGTTTGCCACGCATTGCCTTGATTTCAATGATTCATTATTGATTTACTATTTAAATTCAGGGTGATGCATTTCCTGAACTCAAGAAAGACCCAGAAATGGTATGTTACTTTTCTTATGTTTAAAACAATTTGTATGTGCTCACTCTGTTCATTTACTCACTTCTGGTCAAAAGTAAAGCATTTTTAAATAGTATAGCATAAAGTTCTTTGAAGACATTCCATGTGAAGATATCAAATGTTATACAGATGGCAAGTGTCCAGTCAACATGAGTGTGAGGAAATTTTACTAATTTCCAGTGGTTTTGTTTTGTCTTCAGATGCATATCATTCTAGGCTGAAATACTTAGTCAGTGCAAAAATTTGATAATTTAGGTGTGGCTACAGGAAAATGACAACTTCCTGTTAGGTAATTGGCACACTTGATTAAATAAAATGTCTCCAATTAATTCTTTTTCTTCTTATTTCTTGTTTTCTAATTTACCAGGTAAAAGATATTATAAATGAAGAGGAAGCCCAGTTCTTGAAGACTTTATCCAGAGGACAAAAACTTTTGATGAGGACCATTGGTAAACTGGGAGACTGTAAAACATTGCCAGGTTTGTACTAGTGATTGTTAGTCACAGTTTTGGATTTCTAAAGATTTTATTTAGAAAACTTTTAGGTTCTTTTAAGCATGTGTGATTGAGATTTTTTGAAACAAAATTAGTCAGTACTTTTCATTTGTAGGACTATCTCTGAAAGCCATTATATATAATTTCTAAAAAATAAGTTGATCTTGATTGTCATCTGAGTTTGGCTCCGTTCACATGACAAGTCTATTTTCTAAAAATCTATTTTCAATTTGCGGTATCTTGTGATCACGGTCTGTGCCCTGAATACCCTGTGGCGTAATTACTGGCAGCGCAAGCCAGTTACTTCCAAAGCTGTTATTAATTCTCGGCTGCGCTCGGAGTGATCACAAGATACCACAAATAGAAAATAGATTTTTAGAAAATAGATTTTTCATGTGAACGGAGTCTTAGACACATGACTTCCAGGTAGATGTCACCCTGCTGTCTGCTCTAAAAACCTCTCTTCTTTATTTTGTTTGTTCGTTTCTATTTAGGATTTTTTATAATTGAACAGATTTCACTTTCTAGTTTATCTTTGAATTATTTCATTTATGAAAAACATTTTTTCAGGTGATCTTGCCTGGCGTCTGTATGACACGTATGGCTTCCCTGTAGACCTGACTCAGCTAATGGTGGAGGAGAAGGGACTGGACGTGGACATGAACGGGTACGAAGACTCCAAGAAACAAGCTCAGGTAAATTAATTAGTAACATATAGTAGAGATTATAGTAGAGATGCTTTTTTACTTTTATTGATTATTATCATTATAATTATTATCATTATATATATATATATTTTTTTTTTTTTTTTGAAAACCTTCATGAAATAAATTTGATTGCAGTAAAAGCATCTGAAATTTTACTTGGAAAGTTACTTGGAATGTTCATTTAAATACCAAGGAGCTGGTATGAGAATAAGTGAAAACATGCTGATTTTTTTTTGTACAATATTTTGAAGTAGGTAGATTTAGAAACCAAGCAGGTTTGCCATTTTATTGCAATAAATGTATCAATTTGCATTAGCACATAGCATCATTATACACAGGGTGTCTCAGTATACATGGAACACATTAATATGATAATGATTCATTACTGAGACAAGATAACATGTCCTGGAAGCCATATACTAAAATTTCTCAAAACTATCCAAGAATAAAGATTAAACATTTGGTTCTTGTTTGTTTTAGTTGACATCTCAGGCAGGTGGTGGTACAGTAGATGATCAGGTCAGTCTGGATGTTCACGCTCTCAATGAGTTACAGAGTCAAGGTTTCCCACCTACAGATGACCTGCCTAAGTATAACTATACCTCTGATGAATCTGGCAACTATGGTAAATATTGTTTATTATATGTCTTAATTAATTATTGGTTTTTAAATTTAATTCTTTATTTTTATGTATTTTATTGTTTTGGTTGTCAGCCTACTTGACTTGTCTCACTTTAACATCTTATATTTTGCCATATTTTATAAATTAATATAATCAGCTAAAATCATTTAAAAGTTTGATGAAGATAAATATTTATTGGCTAATGAAAAAAAAAAAAGACCAGTATCCCCTAACAACGTTCAAAAGTATGCATTGCATTCTTTAAAGTGATTTAGAAAATCTATTTATTACTGGCAAGTCATCATTGATGGGCTGCTGGATATTTTGCATCGTTATTTCCTCCAGTATTTGAATCCTGCACTGCCAAGGTCAAGGCCATCAGGATGAACAAGCAGATGGTCAGCGAGGTGGGCAGTGGTCAGGAGTGCGGCATTCTGCTGGACAGGACGTGTTTCTATGCAGAGGCTGGTGGCCAGACGTATGATGAGGGGTTTATCACCAAGGAGGGAGATGAGGTTTGTGATCTCCTGAGAATGTCTTTGTCAAGAGATTGGTCTGCTTGTTCTGTGTGGCTATCTCATAATTATTTCTCTGTTAGAAGAAGGATTTGTTTGACTGGGACCTTTCAAATTATATGTGAAGATCCAGTTAAAGAAATGTTTTCTACATTTTTAATGTAATATAATGTAATGTAATGTATTGTAATGTGAGTTTGAATTCAAAATGAGACTAATTCTAGATTGTGATCATTATTTGCCTGGTAAAATGGTTTGGAGAATGAATTTGCTTGTTTCTATATAGATTGACAAGTAGTTGTTTCATAAAGACATGATGCTTTTTGTCTCCTTCCAGGAGTTTGAATTTGTAGTGAAGAACGTCCAAGTTCGTGGTGGCTATGTCCTCCATATTGGAAGTGTGGAAGGTACTCTGAAAGTGGGAGACAGTGTCAAACTGGCCATTGATGAGGTGAGTCGGAAACATTGGGTGAGATACAGCGTTTTTAATCCCCACTTACTTGCAAAAGGCCCACACACAAATATAAGTTGCTAGTCTTAAATAATTTTGTAACAGAAAATCAACATAAATGAATTCAGTTACCTTATAAGTTCATTCTTCTCTTAATAAGATCATCTTGTTCTTTTTGATTCCTTGAAATAATATTTAAAACATTACGGTTACTTTCTCAGGGACGCAGACGGCCAGTAATGAGTAACCACACTGGGACACACATGCTGAACTTTGCCTTAAGGAAAGTGCTGGGGGAGGCTGACCAGAGAGGCTCACTGGTCGCCCCAGATCGTTTGAGATTTGATTTCACTGCAAAGGTTTGGAGTGCCTTCTTAACTTCCATGTGTAATTTTGTTATATGCTACCAGGAAGCATTATAGACAGTCAGGTTGATTTTTAATGTGTCAAGATTAGCTATTTACACTTAGATTATGTTTTTGGGTTTGCTGTTACTTAAAAACTTTTATTTATTGAGGCGATATTCTCACCAGTTACTGAAGAACTTATTTCCAGTTTTCTTAATTATCAGAATAAGTGCAAGACTTAGTACTATTCCATGCTTCATTCTGCTCCCAGGGTTTTGGTATCAATATATGAATATATTTATATAAGCATCTATCTATTTCCAGGGTTTTGGTATTAATGTATAAATATATTAATGTATGTATCATTCTGCTCCCAGGGTTTTAGTATTAGTATATAAATATATTAATATAACCATTAAATTATCTCCTCCCAGGGCTCTATGACTGCTGCACAAGTGAAGGAGGTGGAGGAGATCACTAATGGTATAGCCAAGAAGAATGAGCCAGTGTACGCCAAGGATGTGGCTTTACCTATTGCCAAGTCTATCCAAGGACTTAGAGCAGTGTTTGATGAGGTCAGGAATGTGTGGTAGTAGTAGTAGTCACTGTAGTATGTTTAATAAATTTTATCACTTTGGTGGATGAAAGAGAGTAAAAGCTCTTTTGACACAAGCTTAGTTGACTATGAAATTCCTCCATGTACGTGTGATCTTATATTTCATGGTTTTGCGACAACTTATTTTTAGGACTAAACTACACAACTCTTTCCCAGAAACTGATTTTTTACAATTTTTAGTCGCCAGCTCCAGTTGATACATTGAAATATATTTCTTAGTGGCTTTAGTTCAACACACAGCTAATACTCAGTCTTTCACTGTTAATATACTGGAGTAACGTTCTGTGTTTCCAGACATACCCAGACCCTGTCAGAGTGGTGTCAGTGGGAGTTCCTATAGAAGACTTGGTGGCTGACCCAACAGGTCCCGCGGGATCACTGACCACAGTGGAGTTCTGTGGGGGCACGTAAGTGGCAGAATTGGTCTCTTTCCTGTGCGTCTGTTGTTTTTTATGTGATATGGAGTCGTAAAAAGAAAATGTTGAATAAAAAAATATTGCAAGTTTTTATTTGTATAGATACTACTGTCAGTGAATATTCTAGATATTTTCTGTTTTGAAGTTTAAAATTATCTATATAGAATATTAAATAAACATATTAAAAATACCACATTTCAAACATTCACACACTTCATGTTCCTCCCCCACCCCCCCCCACCCCCCACCCCCACCATCACCCCACCCCACCCCACCCCATCGTATCCCATCCCACAGGGAATTGTCACAGAGTTGAACATTAAATTACTGGATGAACTTTTTGGTCTTCTTCACAGATTGAAAATGCAGCTTTCTGACTTTTATTCATTTTTTATCCCTTATGCAGTCATCTACAGCGCAGTGGTCATCTTGGTGACTTTGTGGTGGTGTCAGAGGAGGCCATTGCCAAGGGCATCAGGAGGATAGTGGCCATCACTGGACATGAGGCAGAAAAGGTAAATTAATAAAAATTTGGTAACTTCATCTTTTTAAATAACAGAGATAGATTGAATTAAAAATACAATTGTTTATGTTATATCTTTATCTCTATCTTGTACCTCACAGTTTTTGATCACTACCATGACCTTCCTTGGTGTGTGTTCCTATATGTTAGCGTAGAAATTGAAAAGTTTAAGCTTATAATCAATAGACTTCACAGATGAATTTCCATCAAAATACAATTCTTGACTTCAAAAAGGATTGGGTGACTTAGAAGCAACTGACTTTTGTCGTGTGAGTTATAAAAAGAAAAAAAAAAGAATTCTTTTCATGATTTAAAACACACAGGGTTATCGTCTGTTTTAAGTTTCCAACATTTCATGTTAAATTAATATTTCAAATTGTATTTGTTTTTGATATTTCAGGCGCTACACAAAGCTGGGCTATTAGACAAAGATCTGGCAGCCTTGAAACAGAAAATTGAGCAAAATAGCAAAACGCAACAATTCACTCAGAAACAGCTGTCCACAGAGATAGTAAGGTTAACAGAGGTGAGGTCCAACAATATTTGATTCATAAACCTTCTTGTCTGTATCCAATAACACTTGTGTGTATATAAGATATATTTATCACCTGAGTTGGGTTCAAACAAAATTTGATAAATAAAAACTTTGCTTCAGTATCCAATAACACTTGTTTGCATACTACAAATATGTTAACACTAGATTCTTTTGATTACAATAAAAATCTTTTCTTCATTTTATTTTTATTCCTGTAATGATAATTTATTATTTATTTATTTATTTATTTATTTATTCGTTTTCATCTATTCATAGGAAGCATCTCATGCTACGATACCCTACTGGAGGAAAGACAATATAAGAAATGAGCTCAAGGGACTGAAGAAGGCCCTGGACGACTTGGATAAAGCCAGGAAACAGGCAGTGATGACAGAGGTATTAAACACTGTGCTCTTTAAGTTAGATCTTATTCCATATCAGATTAACAGATTAACATGCCGCCTCCTGGCTTTGAGTAGAATACAGAAAAGCTGGTGATTATATGATAGATAAGTGATAGTTTTTATGCACTGACACATCACCTGTGTCTGTTTGTAATGCTGCATTCAAAGCCAAATGTGTAGGAGTACATGCAGGACAATGTAGATTATAATGTTTTTCACTTCAAAGCTCCAGATTCAAAGCTCCATATAATGTGATGATTCATACAACTTTCAAATGAAGCATAGATATAAACAGATATGCATTCTGATCAGAACAATATTTAATAAACTTTTTTATTGTTCAAACCATGTTCAGAGCCTTCTACTGGACATTTTGTTATTAAATATAAAATCATGATGGTCAAATTTAGAAGTGGCGGTGGCCAGAATAACAATTGTAATTTCAGATGTAGTTATGCTGATCAGTTCATTGTGTGCACATTGAGTTGCACTCTGATAATGTGTGATTTTGAAACCTGCTTAGCATTTAAAGACACTGATTGACATATTCGTTTAATTCCTCTTTGTAGGTTGTTGAGGAAGCCAAGAAGATGATTGAGGCATGTCCTAACAAGCCTGTTGTCATCCACGAATTCAAAGCAGGTTCTAATGCAAAGGTACACAGTAACTACTTCCTGAGTCTGCTATAGTTTATTGCATTCTTTAATTCCTGGTTAATTTTTTTAATTACATAATATTATATATGCAGAACACTGAATGATGGAGTTTCAAGTATAATAATAAATACAGCAAATGAAAGATTTGTAGAATATTTCTTTATAAGTCAAACAAACAAGAAAATATTTTACATATAAGATTCTATTCAGTTAGAAGTTAGGATGACCTATAAGCAAATACCCATACCCAAACACATGATAACAAATATTCACATCTGTCAAAACTTCTTTATGGGTAGAAGTATATATTTTACACCAGCAGTTATAATTCTCTACATTATGGTTTAATATCCAGGCCTTGGATGCAGCCATGAAGCAGTACAACAGTCTCTCCCCCCAGACGGCAGCCATGTTCTTCACAGTGGATGAGGACGCAGGGAAGATCATATGTATGAGCAGAGTGCCCAAGGTAATATAAAAAAAGTGACAAAATAATAATTTTTACGAAATTACTGGGCATTTGTTATTGCGGCAGCTTCATGGTTCTTGTAATCTTTAACCATTTGTAGTCAAAATGCCTCATTTATTCAGTGTGTTGCATGAGTTGGGTGTCACTCTTAAATATGTTAGCAAATTCTGTGGATTTTTTTTCAGGGGTGTGTTTGGGAATTCATTGTTTTTATCATTTAATCAGTGTCCATTTCCATATATAATCACTTTTCCTTTTATGCATAACAATGGCAACTCTTTCTACATCACCAAGTTGTCAAAATGCTACAGTAGTTTGGACAGAGCAAAGGTGTACAAAATTTGATTTGTTCAACGACTTTTCTGACATTGCAGGAGGTGTGTACGAAGGGTCTTAAGGCCAACGAATGGGTCCAACATTTGTCTGATACAATCAAAGGAAAGGGCGGAGGAAAGGACGTCTCTGCTCAGGCCACCGGTACCAACACCAGCGGGCTGTCAGAGGCCATGAAGATGGCAGAAGAATTCTCTACTATGAAGCTTGGGAATTGAAAAGAAATTAGTATAATAACAGTTGAGCCTTAAGCAAATACTTTTATTTTGGATAATGAAGTCTTTGCTCTGTAAAAGGTGAAAGAGGAATATGATGCTATGACAATAGAAAATAAATAAGCTTCATTTGGTTATGATCTGAAAACTCCTTGTTCCAAAAAATATGGAAGAAAATCTTAAAGTCTGAAAGAAAACTGAACCAGTTTGACTTGTGGTATTAGTAGTTATTCTCGAAAGATGGAAAGATTTCATACAGGGAAGTTTTTATGCTGTTAAGAATTTACAACTTACAAGTGAAAGTTCTAGTTCATACAAAATAAATGTTAGTATCAATCTAACAAGTATGTCTAAGCAAGGAAGATTCATGTCAGTGAACTACAGTAACTGTTGAGAAGTAAGCATTTTTGGTATGAAACCAGGTCAGTATACGTGGGGCATGTTCTTCTAGCAGAAGACGTTCAGGGCTCTGTAACTCAAAATCATTGCAAATTGCAATAGCGATATCACCTTTCGAGGCTATTATATGAGGTTAGTAAATGCCGAGTTATGGAATAGAGACACTTGCGCTCAGCGTAATTCGCGATCCTTCAAGTTACAGAGCCCAGTTCTGTTTCTCCTCAAGGTCCCAAAATGATCAGGGTGTATAATATCATTCTCCTATTTATGTAGCAATTCATCTGATATTGAGAACATAAAGAATTATGTGGAATATATTCATTCACTTGAGGTACATGTGCAGTACTATGATTCTTGATATTGGAGCACAATTATATTAATGATGTTTGTCCTATTTCATTTTTTCCTTTGGATGCAAGTTGTCTGTTTCAGCATGAATGTAAAGTACTGTTGGGTCATACACCCCATTTCCATAGATTAGATCGACCTAACTCCCTGGGGGTTCACACTAAATAGCTGTCAGCCGGGCAGACACGAAAGTTAATTACCCTCTTACAGCTTGTAGTAGGTGGGACGGACATTAAAGTCGGATTATCTGGAAGTAATCTAGTGAGACTCCCCGCGGGGATAGATCGATCTAAAATCTATGGGAATAGAGCCATATTGATACCTCTGAATATGTTGTTAAAACTCCATATGCCATATCATTTCATTGTATTAATCCATTCTTTGCCAAAATAATACTACTGTTGTTACAAACTGAAGATGTAGTAAAATGTATTTCTGACTAAAGATTTAATGACTTTAAAAGATGCATGGTCTTTGATGTTTTTTTCTCTCTCTCTAAAAGATTACTAAATATTTTATTCTTGGCTTTGATTTTTTTCCCCTCAACTTTCCCCTATTACAATACAAAACAATCAGACCAGAACAATTGCTATTTTTGTTCTAATATTTATTAATGCATAATCTTCATGAACGTATCAAAAGCAACAGTTGTGGGAATGAGGCTAAACTTACTTCTAGCACTAAAAAAGTAAAAATGGTGGTGGGGAAACTATTCCTCTTATATGCAGGAATACTTGCATTAAAATCCACGAAAGCATGATCATGTGTTTTTATGCTCATAAGTCTTTGATGTACAGAAAGCGAAAGGCCCCAGAAGTCCAGCTCCTGTAAAAGCAAAGTTAAGTACAGATTTTCTGGTAATAAAAAAATTGCACTTCTCTTTTTCCTTTTACATCATGAAGCTTTTGGTCACCTTGTGGTATTTCAGTTTTTTACTAAAATTTAAACATCATTTGAAAAAATTGAAAATTACAAGTTACGATGTGTTTTTCTTTTTTGTATCAATCAAAAAAATTCCCCTTCACTTTACTTTTCTTTAAAACTTTTTCCTCCAAACTCAGCAAATCTTACAAAACAAATTTTAAAATGTTTTAAAAATATACTTCTGTTAATTTGTATAGAAAAAATCCTTCATAATACTACAATATATAAGTATTTAAAAACCTTTTAAATAGTTTTTCAAATTTATATGACATATAACAAATGAGAAGTCCCATGCAAGTAGAAAAAACAAACATCAAATTAATTTACCAAGTCGTTGCTTTACATTATGAAAGAGTTTAAAGTAAATGTGAAATATTTATAAAAACTCCTCAGTTCTACTGATATGTTGAAATAAATTAAGCAGAGAAAATGTTTATGCACTTCTCTGTCGGTGACATGACTTAAAGCATGTGACATCTGCTGTAATAAAACTTAATCCCAGACCAATCACGGTCCAAGATCTCCAATCACGGTCCAAGAATTCCCAACTTCTGGCTTTTAAAACCCTTTCTAATCATTCTGAGCTGTTTAATCCTGTAACTTACATCTCAATCTAAATAGATCATGATTTATAAAATACACTGGTAAATTATGCAATAGAAGAACACAAGAGGCAGGACTCATACATCAAAGAATTTTCGAGATGTGAACACAGAAAAAAGGGTCATTATGTGTCAATACTAGCGACTTGGGGTATTGCACTAAATAAGACTATTTTCAAAACGATCTTAAAGAAATAACCTGTTACTGCTATATCACTTAGATATGACAATACCAAATTCACCCAACTAACTTTCCCATTTTTAAATACCAATCAGCTATTTGTCAAAATCATCAGTTGCCTCGCAAATGCAATTTTATCAGAATTTATGTGATGATGTTTAAGAAAAAATGTTGCAGTATCGTTTGCATATCCAGACCCCCCTTCCTCTCATACTTTCTGTAAATTTTCAAATGAAAACAAGTGTAGATAAATGAGGCATAATATTTTTACCCTTGTGCCTCTCTTGTATCCATTTTCCACTTTCAAAAAAAATCTAGGATCCACCATGTGTGTGTGTGGGTAATAGCAAGCAGCACAGCCTAGCAGACCTATGCCCTTCAACTTGGCAGCTACACATCATTTTTTGCCTTGATATTATTCAATTAATATAATTCCTATATATTTTACATAACACAGCATTCTTTTGACTTAGATATGAACACAGTTTCAATTATCTTTTCTATAAAGAAATATCAGCAACATTTTCCTTTCTTCTCCTCTTTTTCATGTAGTTTCTTTGCATTCTGGTGGCCATCTTTTGGCTTTCCTGAGAAGTCTGCAGGCAGTCTAGAAACTGAATGGAAACCATTTTGACAATATGGATCTGTCCAGCATGAGCCCAAGACAACTTTAAGAACAATTTACCCTCATAAATATTTCATTATTCTACTGGGCTATAAAAATCTAACTGTTTAAAAATAATTAAAAAATTAAAGGAAACTTACCTGTAAGTTGATGTTTGATTGTAATTCTATGAGACAATTATAGGTGAGGAGATGAAATGAGAATGCACAGTGCGCATGCGCATCAGGTTTTAAAGCATTTTTGCATGATTTCTTCAGAAGTTTATATCAAACTTCATTCCCTAGTCTGCATTGGTATATATTATCATATAAGTTACGTAATTAGGGAGGGTGGGAGAGGCACGAGTGACTGATGCGCATGCGCACTGTGCATTCTCATTTCATGACAAACCAATTTAATTGTTCCATATAGAATTATGTATCATCGCAACTATTTGTCTCAGTTAACTTCACAAAACTTACTTTTATATTTACAAAATCACTAGTTTTAATTAAAATGTTGAGTCATATTGCCAAGGCAGTCTTAGGGTTAATTCCATATGACTGTTGTTCTATGTAGATTGATCCAACTCCCAGGAACTCAGATTGATCCAACCCCCAGGAACTCAGATTGATCCAACCCCCAGGAACTCAGATTGATCCAACCCCCAGGAAGTCTCGCTAATGCAATCAATTAAACAGATTAATATGCCGTAAGCCTCCTCTTGTTTTCATCATGCTCGTATGATCACCAGCTTTTCTGCCAATAGGAGGCGTGCTAATCTGTTCATCTGACTGCATTCAGCAAGAGTCCCCACCTAGTTTGCTCTATCTACATAGATTCATTGAGAATGAGACATTAGCAGACTAACCCTTGCTCCCTTTGAAAAAGGTAACATTTAAAAAGAGTGTAATAGTAGCATTAATCTATGATCTTTCACACATTTGCATTAAATACCAAGCCTCTCTGGACACCTACTTATTCTAGTGAATAGCTCCTTGATTCCACTGTCATTTTTAGCACTGGTCTCAATAAATATGGCCTGAATCTGCTCAGCATACTGCGCTGCCTCTGGGGAGGGAAAACAAAAGATAAGAAAAAGAGGCATGTCATTAACTATCACTTTCAGTAGCAGTATAAGCATCAATTGACTATGTCTATCTACATGGATGTCTAGCAGTATGCTTTAATTATGTCTAAACTCTCACAACTAAGTTTCTCTTCTTTTTTATTTGTTATTATTATTATTAATTAATTAATTAATTAATTTTTTTTTTTTGGGTGGTTGGTGGGGGGGCTTTATTTCAAACAGGGACTTTATTTATGTTTACTTAAATCAATCCTTCCTACCAGTATGGTGAAAAATGGGAGCTGAAAGAAAGATTTTGTTTTTGAAGAAAGGGCGGCTACAATCCCCCCATATCCACCTACTGAATCCTTTCTTTTATTTTGTTATTCACGTGTTTGGCATATCCTAGGGGGCTATGCTGGTCAACATATCAATAACAGGTGGGGCTGTCATTGTGCTAAGGTGCCAATTCTACTGTTGAAGTACCTGGAAGCAATTTTCAACCACGCCTAAATACTTCTCATTGGGTGCCGATAGCAATCGGTTTGGTCACTAACCGCTGCAGAAAAAACAATCTGGTGCCATAAATCTTCGAAAACTTCTTTCAAACAGATATCAGACAGTCTTGTTGATGAAGGTTGAATGAAAATTGGTCTAATCTAATGTAATTACAGATGAAATCAAAACAGTGCCTTTAAGAAAATCGGTTGCACATCTGTTTATCACTCATACACATTAAATTCCTCTTTTCCATTAGAAATTTTCTGATGCGACAAGTACCAGACCAGATAATAAGAAATGCCATGAAACCATGATGTGATGTTATCAGCAAAATGTCCACTTTTTTAAAGACAAATAATGTCTACGAAAATCATACGATAATAATATGACAACCAGTTTAACATAAAATCATTTTTCAACCAGATTATGAATAGTCAGGCTGTTAATAAAGGTAATATATAACCTGAATATTGAGTGTCGAGAAACTTGTCATTGCATATGAATGTCATTTGGTCAAGGGAAAGATACTAATTTAATGTCAATTAATATCACTGTGACTCATTTATTTCAAAAACCCCAAAACACAAGTTAGATCTCAAAGAAAAGCATCACAATCATTCTGGAATAATAGCAGGTATGTACATAATTGTTTTTCTTACTGTTGATCCAGTTATAATCTGAGTAGCTGAACAAGAAGCTGGGACAGCAACTGAACCCTACCTTTCTTGGTGACCTCTCTAAGATCCTCCAAGTCACTTTTATTACCAGCCAGTGCTATGATGATGTCCTTAGGTCCGTAGTTGGCCAGTTCTCGTACCCAACCCTTGACCGCATCAAACGTGTCCTGGACCAAACAGATGGTTTATTAATAATAATAATAATAATAATAATAATAATAATAATAATAATAATAATAATAATAAATCAATTTAAGTTAATTGAAACATTTAGTCAACCATTTAACAGTATTACAACAATTTCTAACATGACTATGACAGTCTTCTTGCAGATCTTCTTAACCCAGTCTAGGTACATGTATATATCCATAACCCAGTCTAGGTATATATCTATAACCCAGTCTAGGTACACTCATAACCCAGTCTAGGTATACCATAACCATGTCTAGGTATACTATAACCCAGTCTAGGCATACCATAACCCAGTCTAGGCATACCATAACCCAGTCTAGGCATACCATAACCCAGTCTAGGTGTACCATAACCCAGTCTAGGTATACCATAACCCAGTCTAGGTATACCATAACCCAGTCTAGGTACACTCATAACCCAGTCTAGGTACACTCATAACCCAGTCTAGGTACACTCATAACCCAGTCTAGGTACACCCATAACCCAGTCTAGGCTTACTTCTAACCCAGTCTAGCTGTAATACCTACTCTCTTGGTGACATCATACACAATAATGGCTGCAGATGCACCTCTGTAGTACATAGGAGCTAGTGCTCGGTACTGGTTGAAAGAGAAAAAATACTGGGTTTTTACTTTCATACTTAAGAAAAAACATGGGTAAAAATTGAGCTAAGACATATAAATTGTGTTCCAGAAGTTGTGTCACAGTCTGGAACCATACCATGTAGCAACAGCAAGTACAGAGTTTTGCCATAAGCTAAAATATGTTTATCTTATCTTATTAATTATTCATTAATCCTAAATAAATTTCACCTTACATTTTATGATCTGACTGAAATGATCTAATTGTTTTGCTGACCCAAGATCACAGATAGGCATTTAGTAATCACATTTTCAATATTTTCAAGGCTGCTTATTAGCTGAAGTCTGAAAATTTACAAATTAAGCTACAAGATGGAAAACAAATGTTTAAACTTATGACATGCAAGTTTTTACCCTCTCCTGTCCTGCCGTGTCCCAGATCTGGAACTTGACTGTCTGCTGGTCAACCACCAGAGTCTTGGTCATGAAGGAGGCCCTAGGGGAAAATGCAGACTGATTAATTTTAATCATTTCAACTCATGAAAGAATTCAAAATATCCTGGGGACCGTTTCATGAAGCTCTCGTTAGTTAGCAATTGATCGTTAGCCTCTCATTAATTAATTTAAGTAATGAGAGCTTTTCTGAAACAGGCCCCTGACTGCCTAAGGACATTTTGTAAATTTAAGAAACATAAACACTAGGCAAACAAATACATCTCAACTCCCATTCCCCCCTTTTCTCTAATACACAGCAGCATAATTTTGTTTTTATTTTGCCTAATTGACAGATATTAGCCAATAGCCAACTGTTACAAAGTTGACTTTACAAAATTAAATTAAAACAAATAAATAAAGAAAATAAAAAAACTCATATATTGCATATACATTAGAGAAACTACACTAACTAATATAAAAACAAGACCAAAAAATGTGATTTATATGCATACACTCAGTAAATTGCTTTCAGCACAACATGCCGCATCCATATCTTAACACATCTTCAGTAAATCATTATGATCCACTTACCCTATAGTCATTTCTAGGCCTTGCTTGAAGGTATCAGATACAAATCTTAACACAATGCTAGATTTCCCTACCCCAGACTCCTGTAAGACAAAGTGAATTTTTACAACAAGCCATATGCTGAAAACAAATCTAGTCATTTTTTCTGTTCAAGCTATACATGTATAAGGAGCATGATTACAAAAGAAGTAGGCAGAAATAGGTTATATGTAAATACTAGTGTTTATGATATGATGGTCAACCATATACACAGTCTACTGTACCATATGGTCTAGAGGCCCCACATCAGGAAGGGCCAAGTACTGAGTATATGGTTCAGTACAGCATGACTGGAGGGCACACAAACTTGGTAAACTATATAAGAGAAGGACCCACACAAGATCCCACACATATTTGGACATGCAAGAGTGCAGGGCGAAATATATGTACCTTTATACAAGACATAGGTCCCACAGTTGGGTCCACTGACGTGGTGTAACTCATGACCAACCTCACCCCCCACCATCAGATGCACACACACATGCACACACACACACATGCACACACACACATGCACATACACACACACACTGATCAGTCACATATATTTGCACCATGGTAGTTGTCGAAAAGAAAAAATCCAAACATGATGCATGAATGGGAGTTTCACCACATCTGGGTGGCTTGTTCCTGACCTTGGCAGTGGTATTAGATAGATATGACAACAGTATTCACAGAGCTGGGGTAGCGCTAACACTCGCCAATTTAGCCAAATGCTAAAACTGACCTAAATTGGCTAAAGAAAAAGGGCTTGATTTGATTTGTTTTAGCCAAATTATAACCATATTTGATAACAAATTGACAAAAATGTGATGATTTGGCTAAGCAAAAAAAATTGCTAGCGCTACCCCAGCAGAGGAATAGGCAACATCCACACCTGATTCATACTTTGTATACACAGTTTATTATCATATGACCCAAAAGGTCCCTCTTTTGAGGTCCAAGTACATAGCATACATGTGTACTGTAACACTGACTTTGATGTTCTACAATACAACATATCAGCAGGATTAACTTCTATACTACAGTATGTAACTCTCACAGACCCTCAAGAACAACCATGTTGTATATTAATTAGCAACAGCTAGCTCTATATAAGAGCATGATCTAATATCTGATGGCAATAACTTACTGTAGTCAGTCTTAGACAGTGTTAACACCTGCATCTAAGGCTCATATATTTCCACATACATGTACATGCAGAAGAATTCACAAAAATACCGACCCATTTCTTCAGTAGATAAAATGTTAATGAAAACCACCCCAAGGAAGTAAAAGCATATTAAACAACTACCGGGTACTGGGAAATCAACTATAAATAAGCTGTTAAATACCAATAAATACATGGACAAGGTAACTGTTACCCACAAGCCTAATTTTTGACCTGACTTGCCTTCCCTTTTGTTATAATATTCACCATTGCATGTAACAGGAACAAAGCTACCAGTACAGATACAGGTGCATAGCACTACATGTACATAATACTGTACGTACAGTATGTAAACTTTAAAACGATAAAGCGACCTTAACGCCAATTAAATGATGCTTTTTGCTGAATACAGACGCATTATTCATCCTTGTCATTACAAACGTCGAAACTGTGCACCTATTAGAATACTTTCAGGCACGATGTAAAATCAGTAATTTCCCAGCTTAATTTCGGACTCATTGATCGATTATTTGATACTGAAAAACGTGAAACTTACCCCCAGTAAACACACTTTCACTTCTTTCACTGATGTTACTTCATACATGGCTTATCTTCTCCTTACTTGTTTCTTGCCTTGGTATGCCTTACTTCATAGTATAAATCATAACTAGCTTAGAGATAATATTCTAACTAACATCAGAGACTGATCACAAAGTCACGTTCTTGGTAAACAAACGTCATTTTCACATTCCGCCATTTTGTCCACAATTAGGTCATGGTGCTGTCATGTGACACCAATTGATTTGACCTCTGATAACCATCCCTATCAGTTGAGACCCGCGGGAAAAGCTTTAAATCGTAATTTGATAAACATGGCCAAAACGGTCCATCTCTTTAATTTTTAAATACTTTACTCCTAACTTTCTATGTATATATCGAATCAGGAATGAATAAAACCACGTTCGTTCACTTTTTCAAAAGTTTTACCTACTCAAGTTTCTGTACACAACGTGTACGTAGAACATTTTCTATTTATTCCGATAACGTCTTTAAGTTCTGCCCGTGTATTATTAACCTTAAAGTTTAATAGTGAAATCTGCCCGACTTGGTCTTGCAAAATCTGAACAATACCCTTCTCTTTTTTTTATACATATATTTTCACCTCCGCCAAGGAGGTCGTTTTCACCCCTGTTTGTTTGTTTGTTCGTTTGTCTGATATCAACATAACTCAAAAAGTTTTGGACCGATTTTGATGAAAATTTCAGGAGCGGTCAGAAGTGGGCCAAGGAGCAGATAATTAGTTTTTGGTGGTGATCCGGATCAATAACAAAAAATTTAGGAGTTAAACGGCATTGGATGGAGACTTTGCTGCCTTGGCGGAGGTCTGCGCTCTCCGAGTGCTTTTCTAGTTACATATATGACATTATTTTATCTCACAAAACTCAACTGTGGTATTAAATAAATAAATAAAATATAAGTTTTAAATCTAATATGTTTCTTCGGTTAATTTTTTAAATTCATTTCATCATTTACAAAACTAAACTGTTAATAAATACATGTAAATAAATAACAGATAAGTTTTAAAACAATCTAATATTCGTTTATTTGGATTTTTTTATCGTTTTTATTTATTTCATCACTTTATTTTTTTTTACATTTGATTTTTCTTCGATATTCCTAACAGACCAAAATACTTATTCGTAAAACCAAGCATAAACAAAAAGTACACGTGTAAATATATACAAAAGAAGTGTAAATTATGAAGAAAACAGGTTTTACATATGGGGGGTCAATTCTGAGTATGTATAATCAACCCTAAAGAGTCTATCTCCCTCTTCTAGCTCAAGTCAAATTTTTTCAGATAACACCAACACTTTCATGTTTGACATTTTTATTTATTTTACTTATATTGACCAAAGTTTCACTAGACATACACATTTACATATACAACATCACATTTCAATATGAAAGGCTTTGACATTCAGTTTACAGCACACTTTAAATACAAAAACAAAATAATCACTATCAATGTGCATTATGAAGTGTAACACACTAATATGATATAAATGATATATCTGAATAAGTACAAAAATACCACTAACTGTATTCATAGCTCTACTATCAAACTATGTACAATGAATGTTCTAAACCATATGCAAGATTTTCATTGAAGGGAATTCTTACATCACCTTGGTCACTTATTATATAATGTAAACTTTGCATCAAAATTGTCTTAAAAGCAAAAAAGTTAATTTTTTGCAAGCAAAAATTCTTGATCTCAAAACAAAGTAATATGTTGCCTTAAGATATATCTCCAATGTACAAAATCATTATACCAGCCAAGCACATTTGCTACTATAAACCTTTCTTATTTTAAGATTAATATCAATGACTGAATTATGTTTAACATAAAAATGTCATAAATTTCACTACTTCAAAACTCTACTTTCACAGACTTCCACATACAGTTACAGTAAAACAACTGTTTATGAAAATCCAAAATAATTCAATATATGCATTTTCCCCCTTTTGGACCAGTATTTACATAAAAATAAAACAATGTCATGGCCAAACAATATCTTACATGTGGCTGTGAGATTCTTTGAGAAGTATTAACTGACCACAAAAAGAGAGAACTTTTTTTAAAATTCACTACCCCTTTATTGCTGGTGTGTTCTCCACGAGAAAATGCTGCAATGGTATTCTAGCACATACTGTCAAATATTATTTACAATATTTCTAGCATTTGATCAAGGTTTTGAAAAAGACCAGGATAAGCAAAGTTTGATCATCCCCTATTACAGTGGGCAATAAATGCATTTACTAATAAGACTGTAAGATATTTACCATTACATTGCACTCAAGCAGCACACTTTTTCACAAAAACAGAATTATTGTCAATGTTCCGCCCATTTGTTGAATTTAACAGATTTCCCCATTTTTAAGTACCAACAGCAAGGATCATCAAGGAATTAACTCCATATGTCAAAAAGCATAGGAAATCTTTCATTTAAATTGTACTGGAACAGCAGGAACTCAAAGCTGAGGGTCAAAGTTCATAACTAAAATTGGCCTTGGTTGAAACCAAAATTACCTGGCTGACTCCCTTGCATCTGGTTACCTCCCATTTGACCTTGTCCCATGTTCCCTCCCATCTGTCCTTGACCCATGTTTCCTCCCATCTGACCTTGACCCATATTCCCTCCCATTTGACCTTGACCCATGCTAGTGGGCATTTGACCTTGTGGCATTTGACCCATCTGTCCTCCAATACCACTGCCCATCTGGCCTTGCATCTGTCCACTCATCATGGGGTTTGTCATTTGCCCCTGAGAGGAAGGTGGACCCATAGGGCCCTGTTGTGACATCTGACCTCCCATCTGACCTTGTGGGACCTGGTTTCCCATCTGTCCTCCCATGGATCCTCCCATCTGAGACTGACTCATCTGGCCCCCTCCCATCTGTGAGATCTGACCTCCCATCTGACCTTGGGACATTGAACTCATCTGACCTCCCATTTGGCCTTGGTTCATTTGACTTCCACCCATTTGACCTTGACCCATTTGCATCTGGGGGCTGCCCATCTGAGGGTTCCCCATTGGTCCTTGCTGTCGAAATCCCATACCAAACCCCCTCTGCTGTTGTTGTGGTTGCTGTTGCTGCTGCTGTTGTTGGTAGCCTCCAAATTGATTCTGTGGCATGTTCTGCTGTGAAAAGTTCCCCTGGTGTTGCTGTTGTTGTGGAAAACCTTGCTGTTGTTGCTGCTGGTTGAATTGTTGATTACCAAACTGTTGCTGGGGCTGCTGCTGAAATCCTTGCTGAGATTGCTGCTGTCCGAAATTTTGACCTTAAAAAACAAAGCCAATACTATAGTCTAGCTTACTTTTACTTTTTTAATATACAAACTCAACTGTTAATCAATATTTCTAATTTTAATCAGGGTAATTGCTTTATGTTTCTATCACTTCCTATATGAGATACAGATCAGATTTAGAAGGTTGTTTGTTACATACACTAATTCACCTTTAAATTTTTTACAAGGTAAAAGGTCAAGCAAACCTAGATATCTATCTTTTGTATTCAGTTTAATACAAATAAAATTGTATACACATACTTCAATATAGTCACTTTCAAAAAGCACCTTTACATAATATAAACATTTTATAGCGATAAATGCATGGTTTGGTCTCATCTGATTTCCCATTGGCATTTGGCCCCTTTGCACAGAACCTACATTGTATAAGGTTAAAGTCAAAGAAATATTGGTAAAATCAGTACTGAAGACATGGTACCTGGAAGTAATTATGTCAACAAAAAGTAAGCAAATAATATCTCANGATATTTACCATTACATTGCACTCAAGCAGCACACTTTTTCACAAAAACAGAATTATTGTCAATGTTCCGCCCATTTGTTGAATTTAACAGATTTCCCCATTTTTAAGTACCAACAGCAAGGATCATCAAGGAATTAACTCCATATGTCAAAAAGCATAGGAAATCTTTCATTTAAATTGTACTGGAACAGCAGGAACTCAAAGCTGAGGGTCAAAGTTCATAACTAAAATTGGCCTTGGTTGAAACCAAAATTACCTGGCTGACTCCCTTGCATCTGGTTACCTCCCATTTGACCTTGTCCCATGTTCCCTCCCATCTGTCCTTGACCCATGTTTCCTCCCATCTGACCTTGACCCATATTCCCTCCCATTTGACCTTGACCCATGCTAGTGGGCATTTGACCTTGTGGCATTTGACCCATCTGTCCTCCAATACCACTGCCCATCTGGCCTTGCATCTGTCCACTCATCATGGGGTTTGTCATTTGCCCCTGAGAGGAAGGTGGACCCATAGGGCCCTGTTGTGACATCTGACCTCCCATCTGACCTTGTGGGACCTGGTTTCCCATCTGTCCTCCCATGGATCCTCCCATCTGAGACTGACTCATCTGGCCCCCTCCCATCTGTGAGATCTGACCTCCCATCTGACCTTGGGACATTGAACTCATCTGACCTCCCATTTGGCCTTGGTTCATTTGACTTCCACCCATTTGACCTTGACCCATTTGCATCTGGGGGCTGCCCATCTGAGGGTTCCCCATTGGTCCTTGCTGTCGAAATCCCATACCAAACCCCCTCTGCTGTTGTTGTGGTTGCTGTTGCTGCTGCTGTTGTTGGTAGCCTCCAAATTGATTCTGTGGCATGTTCTGCTGTGAAAAGTTCCCCTGGTGTTGCTGTTGTTGTGGAAAACCTTGCTGTTGTTGCTGCTGGTTGAATTGTTGATTACCAAACTGTTGCTGGGGCTGCTGCTGAAATCCTTGCTGAGATTGCTGCTGTCCGAAATTTTGACCTTAAAAAACAAAGCCAATACTATAGTCTAGCTTACTTTTACTTTTTTAATATACAAACTCAACTGTTAATCAATATTTCTAATTTTAATCAGGGTAATTGCTTTATGTTTCTATCACTTCCTATATGAGATACAGATCAGATTTAGAAGGTTGTTTGTTACATACACTAATTCACCTTTAAATTTTTTACAAGGTAAAAGGTCAAGCAAACCTAGATATCTATCTTTTGTATTCAGTTTAATACAAATAAAATTATATACACATACTTCAATATAGTCACTTTCAAAAAGCACCTTTACATAATATAAACATTTTATAGCGATAAATGCATGGTTTAGTCTCATCTGATTTCCCATTGGCATTTGGCCCCTTTGCACAGAACCTACATTGTATAAGGTTAAAGTCAAAGAAATATTGGTAAAATCAGTACTGAAGACATGGTACCTGGAAGTAATTATGTCAACAAAAAGTAAGCAAATAATATCTCACATCAACAAAGTTTAGGCCAAGAAATAAAACAGTACTGTTTCTCAGGATCCTGTCATAATTTTTTTGCACAAAAAAGACACCTGCTTCTAATAGCAGTTAAACTCTTTCAGAGCCAAAAAAATCCTGAGAAACAAAAATATTTTTTCTGTGGCCTTACCTTGGTTATACGGACCACTTGGTGGGGGCATTGCTCCTCTCTGACTCATCATCTGGTTATTTTGGCTGCTCTGTGACATCATCATGGGATTTCCACCTTGTGACATCATAGACTGCTGTCCCATCTGTTGTGACATCATACGTTGCTGCTGTGACATCACAGGCTGTTGCTGGTAACCCCCTTGCGGTTGTGGTTGCGGCTGCTGCTGTGGGCCCATGTTACCGTAAGAACCGCCCTGCATCCCCCCTTGTTGTGGCATCTGACCACCTGCCATCATACCTGGAGATGTGGTAAAATTCTTTGCCTTTGATTGCACAGGCTGAATTTTGCCTAAAACATATTTGGGGTCTGGTGGATTTATTCTACTAGTGCTACTTCTACATGGATAGCCCCTTGATGATCTCATCTCAACCATTAAAACACATCCATGGTAGAAGGGTTAAATATATATGATATACTGGACAATGTAACAGTGAGACTTAGGCTGAGTTAGCAGTTTGCTCCCCCATTTTCATCATAATTTTTTTTTTAGAATGAAACTTACATTAATGAAAGAACAAAGTTAATTCCAGTGAAATGATGTATTTTACAACTATGAAGATTGGATGTAGTAAGAGGAATACAGTTATTGCTACAAAACGATAATGTAAAGCTCCTGTGCCCACTACCTAAGTCTACACACAAAAACTGATGAAAACAAATGAAGTCACATCATAAACAAGTGTACTGTTTAAAGCATTAGAAATTAGTAACCCACGCCTCCTAACAAACTGAACAAAAGAAAAAAAAAATTAACCAACTGAAAAGAAAAAAGCAATTTACCTCCTCCGTTACCTTGTGGCATGATATTCGGTTGACCTCCCATAGGGCGATTAAATCCTGGCTGCCCTACCATTGGTTGGTTTGGTCTCATCTGATTTCCCATTGGCATCTGGCCCCTTTGCACAGAACCTACATTGTATGAGGTTAAAGTCAAAGAAATATTGGTAAAGTACCAACAGACTAGCAAACTCATTATTTTGAATATTATTTTAGGAATGTTTTTACCACTTTCACCCTTTTTAATAGCGCTTATCTTAGGTGGAGGGGAAAAAGGGTATTTTCTATCGTCACAGACTTGTATACTGATACAATTAAAATATAACAACACAGAAAAGATGGAATGAATTTTTTGCACCTAACCCATTCAACAACATACAATTTAACCAGTTATCCAAGAATGTCAGGTGCTTATTAATTCCAGTTAAATTAAGCGTTTTCACCATATCTCCATACTTACTGTCCATCATGCCTTGCTGCATCTGATTGCCTGGCATTCTCATCTGTGGATTGTTGGCCTGGCCTGGAGCCTGAATTAGTTGCATAATACGTTAAGAACTATCATGATCAATAAAATTAAAGGGGAAAAGAAGTTGTCCATATGGTGGTATCAGTTTTGACTTTTTTCTTTTAAGGGCAGGGGGGCTAAGCTGTAAGCTAATACAGTTGTGAATGCTGCCTTGAAAATTTTCATCATTAACTTTTGCTATGAGATATATTACTAGGGGTATGTCTATTTTACTTAAACCTTAAGTTTTAAAATCATGTCACTTACTGGTAAAAGAGCCTGGACATTTTGGTTGGAGTCTGCTATTGTGGCAAGGTAGACCAGGTTTCTGTGGAGCATTTGTTGGTACCTGGAAGTATGTTAAACAGCAAACAACTTTCACAGCAATATATGTGTTTCTTCTATTTGAAAGAGTGTCAAAAATCAAAATTTTCCTTACTCAGATGAAGTTAAAATATAAGAAAGAGAATACCGAAAAAATTTTGCCGATGCAAAACTTTCAGCCCATAAATCTGACTATTTACTTACTGCACACATTCTGCTGCCTTCCCTTTATTCTGGTAGTCAATTATGGCTTGGATTAACTGGTTGTTTTCATCTAGCATCTATAAAGAAAAGGAGATTGCACACACGCTCGGCTGTCACCTTGATTGGATAGTAAACGATTGTCATAAAATCGCTAAATGATATTAAAACCGGGTGCATAAACTTGAAAACCACCTAGGACAACCTTGGACTACCACATTAATCCAATACAATGCAAAAATAAACTATAACAAGTGGTTAAAGCCTTCAAACCGAATGTCGTAAAGTCCCCATATACCTCCATAGAGACAATAAAATAGAATGAGCTTGTGAAACAAAACTGAACCATTTTCAACATAATAATCGAAATAAAATACTGCCGGGCATCGGAGCAGCCTAAAACTTGGCACACTTACCGCAAATACTGCAGGCTACATCATCCCGTCACTCGTTTGTAAATTCCGTGCATGGCATACGCTGTAAATCAAAATTCCACCTCTGATGTTTAAGTTGGTCCTCTCTAACCTACCATTACGAAAAAGAAGCCATGCCATTGGACAATGTGACCTCTGCGGTTACGTCATTTCCTGAATTGGATTGTTGAGAGGGCCAACTTAAACATCAGAGGTGGAATTTTGATTTACAGCATATGCCATGCACGGAATTTACAAACGAGCGACGGGATGATGTAGCCTGCAGTATTTGCGGTAAGCAAATTCCACCTCTGATGTTTAAGTTGGTCCTCTCTAACCTACCATTACGAAAAAGAAGCCATGCCATTGGACAATGTGACCTCTGCGGTTACGTCATTTCCTGAATTGGATTGTTGAGAGGGCCAACTTAAACATCAGAGGTGGAATTTTGATATACAGCATATGCCATGCACGGAATTTACAAACGAGCGACGGGATGATGTAGCCTGCAGTATTTGCGGTAAGCGTGTCAAGTTTTAGGCCGCTCCGATGCCCGGCAGTATTTTATTTCGATAATTATGTTGAAAATGGTTCAGTTTTGTTTCACAAGCTCATTCTATTTTATTGTCTCTATGGAGGTATATGGGGACTTTACGACATTCGGTTTGAAGGCTTTAACCACTTGTTATAGTTTATTTTTGCATTGTATTGGATTAATGTGGTAGTCCAAGGTTGTCCTAGGTGGTTTTCAAGTTTATGCACCCGGTTTTAATATCATTTAGCGATTTTATGACAATCGTTTACTATCCAATCAAGGTGACAGCCGAGCATGATTGCACACAGATCCAGCTGACATCTCACACAAACTACATGTACATACAGAATATATACTAATGAAAAGTATGCCTTACATGATAAAAAACTTGTATAATCGGTTTGACTTGGCCAAATTATGAGTTTCTAGTCCTTCTTGTTTATTTCGCCATTATACTGAATTATCCTTATAATGAAAATGTAGATATAAGTAGTATACGAGAGTGGAAAGTGAATCAAAAACTAAAAACAAATGGAAAACTAGGACTAACTAGAAAGTAGAAAGTAGCCCATAACTTCACAAATCTCTCTGTCAATCGGGCCAATTTTAAATTATATATTTGATTTTAAATCAATGCCGTTCTAGAGTCAAATCTGTATGCTCAACAAAAGGGCAGATTCAATAAAACAGTCGGAAAACGGAAAAACAGTCTATGTTAGTGAATGACATGTGTTCTCAATGCAATCCAGGTCACATCTCTCTGTTGAACAAAACCTTTGTTCCACATGTTAAATGAACATACCTTCTGAATTGTTGCAGGATTCGGGGTTGGCTTTCCTGCCCTTTGATGCTGGGGAACAAATGCCAACGACATACTTTTTTATACTTAGATTTGAGGCGCGTAAACTTTGGTGTCACCGATATTGCGACGGATAACGAAAAATAATAATTTTGCCTTCTGCTTTTCTTGAGAGTTCAAGGTTGCAGCTCCGCAGTAAGTAGGTCACTAGGTCGTAATGGTTAATTTGATCGAATTTCTTATTTTGTCACCCCATAATATTTTAAGTAAGAATTTAAAAAGAAAATGTTACCTAAAAGTTTTAATATGTAGTTGTTAGATTTAAAAGAATATGTTGAATGCCTAGTTATTTCTCAAGTGCGGGTTCATTATAAGGCAGCCATTGTCGGATTGTCGCATAACAAGCATGTCATCCACTTACGATCGTGCAATCACGGTTTTCTCGCCTGATGGGCACTTGTTTCAAGTAGAATATGCCCAAGAGGCAGTTAAAAAGGGATCAACAGCTGTAAGTTTCTACTTACTTGATGACACTACCACATTTGCTCAGTTAATTTTGGGTCTTAAAAAGCCGGTTGGATGACTTGCAAGGTGTCTGGCGACCAAATTTGCTAACACCTACCTTGTTTTTGTAGTCTTATCGCACTCTGTCATTAACATGGGTATCATCAAAATGTATGGTATTGTATATGCCATGATTTTGGGAAACTTTTTTCCTCTACGGTTATTTACTTTCAGAATAATGTTACCCTGTAGTCAAATGGCCCCATTTAAAATGTTTAAAAAATATTGAAATTATTTTATTATAGGTTGGCGTCAGAGGGAATGATATTGTCGTCCTTGGAGTAGAAAAGAAGGCCGTAGCCAAATTACAAGAAGACAGAACAGTTAGAAAAATAGCTTTATTAGACGACCATGTTGCAATGGCATTTGCTGGTACTTTCATAATTTTCACTTTCATTGTCCTAAAGCATTTTTTAATGAATTAAGCCAATAAGGCATTGTTGAAACAAAGAAAAAAGTATTAAAATGAGATGAAATTACTTTTGAAGAAATAAAAAAGTGTTAAGTTGAAGGTATGTTTGATATATGTTATGGTTGGAAACATGTGAAATGACATAATCTGTATTTTTTCTTGCGCATTATTCATATGTGCAGTACATGAAAGACAAGTTCAAAGAATTATATAGGCATTTACCTTAACAGATTTTGGTTTTAATAAATATGAAACTTTGAAGTTTATTTTCACTTGTATCCCAGGATTAACTGCAGATGCAAGAATACTGATCAACAGAGCCAGAATAGAATGCCAAAGTCACAAATTAACAGTAGAAGATCCTGTGACCCTAGAATACATAACGAGACATTTAGCGCAGTTGAAACAGGTAAAAGAAATGTCCATACTATTACTATGGTAGTAACTTAAAATAGTCAAATGCCTGACTTATTATTAAAATTTTTTAGATTTGTCATTCAAGTAACTCACAAAAGTATGTTTTTTATTCTTTTTTTGCAGATATTTTATCATATTCTTCTGATATAAGTAATAATGAAACTTTTTTTTAATTGCATTTATCAGTTTTATTAGGTAATTGATAAAATGGAACACTTGAGATGTAATAGTATGGCCACTGCTAAAAAGCAATGTTGATATTTTACATCAGTTAATCTGATGATTTGTCTGATCAGGAATTCATAATTTAGGTTATGATTAACTTGAATAGCTATAATTTAATTTAGAAATGAGTGATTTTCATAGAAGAAAGACACAAATAAATATTGGTTAATCTGTAGTGATCCAGCATTGTGAACAGTAAATAAATATCCTGTTTGCACCAGGGCCTTGATTCGGTAAAAACACCTGATTTCAGAGATACACTCAAAGCAATGGGAGAAGGCCATTTGGTTTATCCACTTTGATCATAGGTTTTGACAGTGATGGCACTCCCCATTTGTACCAGACAGATCCATCAGGGACCTATCACGAGTGGAAGGTAAAGCACAGTCATTTGAACAGCCTGTAATCAGATTTTTCTGACTTTGGGTGGATTTTGGACTTTTTGGGAGTTAAAAGTGTCATTGGCCTAGGCCCTCCTGGACCCCAAGCCATATTTTCCAACTTTTTCACTAAATGCAGTCTCATCTCTGTGAAATGTTTAGCCCCTATCCTGAATGCCTGTTAAAATTCATCAGGCAACTTTTATACATTTGTCCATTACTTGCAAATTTCTTTCTTAATGCCAGCTGATTGATGGCATTTCATTGTGTTTCTGCTGATTTATGTCCAATTTTCTTCTGTGTTTGATTTTATTTCATTAATTGTGATGAGGTGAATTATTTCCTGAAGAGCAGAATATTGAATATTATGTTTCATATAATAATTTTATTCTTTAAAAATCAACATTGTAAAGTTACCCAGCATTAACAGAAGAAATATTCATTGTAAGTTCTATTATAGGTTTAAGTGAAGTGAAATATTTCTTGATTATGACAGTTTTAATTCCTTTAATATTTCAAGGCAAATGCCATAGGACGCAGTGCAAAGACAGTGCGCGAGTTCCTGGAGAAACACTACACTGACGACACAGCTAAGAGTGAGCACGACACAGTAAAACTAGCTTTGAAAGCCTTACTGGAGGTGGTACAATCAGGAGGAAAGAATGTTGAGTTGGCATACATGAAGTTCGGACAACCTCTCAAGGTGAGTAGATGGAAGGGCTATTTGTTGCAGTGTTACCCGTAGCCTGGGTTCCAATCCCTAGATAGATCTAACAGGACTGGTCCATCTCCACAGGGTCCCTCACTAACTTGCTTTCAACCCGAGTGGCTTAGATGCTGCTAAACAATAATTAATTACCCCCTATCAGCCCCAGCAGGTGTGGCAGACATCTAAGCCCCCCAAGTTAATTGCAATTAAGCAAGAATCCCCTATCGGAGATAGTTCAATCCAAAGTTAGTAGGATAGATTAAGTTTTAGATCAACCTAACTCCCTGGGGGTTCATGCTAAATTGCAGTCAGCTGAGCAGGCACCATAGTTAATTACCCCCTTACAGCTTTTAGTAGGCGGGACAGATGCTTAAGCCGGCCAAGCTGACAGTATTCTAGTGAGACTCCCCACAGGGATAGATCGATTTAAAAATCTTTGGAAATGGGGTGTTAGAGAGCTATTTTGGGGAAAACTTTGGAGATACTTCAGAAGGTCAGGGGGAGATCACTGCTGTACAATGAAACTACAGGTCCTCTTAATTCTGTGCAGGTCCTAACTAAGTATTTGATTTCTGTTGGTCCATGTTATCACGCGATTTATTATTATGTATTGCATTTTGTCATAAACCTTGCTAGTCCAGAGGACCTAAATGAAAGATCTTTAAGTGGTCATGACTAGTCAGGCAGACAGTTTCCCCATGTCTGCTGCTTCATGCAAAGTTTGAACATCTAGGGCCTTTAATCAGTCAAATGTGGCCATAAGACATTGATAATACTACTATTACTATATATATATAATCATGTATACACTAAAACTTAGTTATGTTAGTTTTTCAGTGGTCAACAAGACCGGTAGGAAGTATGTATATCTGGCCAAGTTAAAAAACAAGTTGAAATTATTTTAAGCTTACAGATTGCCCAATATTTGATGTGTTACTATTGATATTTTACTTTCATTTTTGTCCAGATGATGGAGTCAGCAGAAGTAGAGAAATACATTGCAGAAATTGAAAAGGAAAAGGAAGAAGAGGCAGAGAAAAAGAAGCAGAAATCTGGAAAGTAGCATTTGAGTATAGGTTTCTAAAGACAAATCTGATCTCATGGAAATACCTAGCTGAGAATTTCTGAGACATCCATTGGCAATACAACAACAGAAAGTCGAGGACGATCGGAATCTTGTGGAATGCTTGTGGTATTTGCTCAGATTCATTTTCAAGAGAAAAATTAATGGAAATATTGTACACCAGGATCTGGATTCTGAACAGCACATAAAAATAAGAGAAATATTAACATTTCACACTAAAACTTGAAATTACAATGTTCTTATTATTCAAAAGAAAGGACACATTGATAAAGGATATATATGAACTGTTGGCTGTAAGAGGATGATGGCCCAAGTAATTGCATTAACAGCGTGGGAAGTTTTCTGCTATGATAACAGTGGAACTAAAACGAAAAGTTTGGACTAAAAGGAACAGTTACTGAACTGAAATATTTCCATTGGGAAGCAATTTACTGCAGCAGGTCAAAGAAGTAAATTGTCAAATTGTTGGTTGGATAATTTGTAATGTAAATGTAAGATAAAATTTTTTTGAAAGAAATGTCTGAATTTATCTTTTTATTACGTGCAGATACTGTATGTGTCTGCATACATTTTAATAACAGTTTCTGTCCGTGCTGTTGTTTGGCACGAGATGTAGATCTGAACAGAAAGGGATTAGGCTTGTGATGGGGGGCTTAAATTACCTTAATTAAGTGCTCCATTTTTGCCATTCACACACATAAACAGAAAACATTTTCTTATAAAACAAAGACGCATTTATTTCATCTGTGCATTTTGTTTTTAAAACCGAAGACAGGGGTTAAGCTTGCATGCTTGCACAAGGTCATCAGGAACATTATTATATTAACTACACTTGGTTACTTATGGCATGATGATTTAATATAAAAACAAGGAAAGAACCCATCTTGAATTTCAAGGTGACAAGGCCCTTCATGTGGATCTAATCCAAGTATAAATCAAAAAGGCTAAAAAAATGTAGCATTTATAAATGTATTACTAGCAAACGCATTTGGCTACACATTACTAGTCAGCAAACGTAGCATACAAATGAGTAGGACTAAATAGGACCAACACATTGAATTTGGTAATAATTTTGTGTGTCAAAGCTACAATGATAGCGAGGCCATTATTTACAGATGTTGGAATCATTTACATAATGACGTAAAATGAAAACTTTGGACACACTGTTCAGTAATCCATTCCCCTTACCAACATGAAACCACTTAAATTATGTTCCCGAACAGAAACAATTTGCTCGTCTCTTAATCACTACATTCCAAAAGCATCACGTAACAATCTCTGTCAGGAATACAACAACAAAAGGGGTAATGCCCAAGATGGATTTATATCAAGTCTCAAAAACGGGTAAAAAAAGCTATGCCAAGACCTAAACTTCTCGATCTTCTTCCTTCAAGATACAACAGCTTTGCTCTAGAATGTCCACTTCATGTGCCACTCAGACTAGCTCAAGTTCTGTTTCATCTGCTCCAGTTCAGCACAGGTTTTTCATTTTTCAGCTGTCACACCGTCTTTTATGAAAATCATAAGTTGTGCAAGCCTAGTCGAAATATATCATGAAACACTGCAAAACTTCCATTTACTGGCTTCAGACAAAATGTTCGGATAAACGCATTTGGAGGGTCATCATCAGTCTGAAATAAAAGATAAATTTACATTTAATTTGATAAAACAAAGCCAACTTTACTAGGTGTGTACAGTTATGTATTCTAGGACTAATATCATTATTATGGTACCCCACTGTATCAATGAAGGCATTTAAGTTTTTAATGACTGGTCATGGTTCTATAAATGATCTTGCTTGCGCACTCCTATTAACAACTATGATACGTAACAGGGCTTGACATTAAAGGTGGCCCACTGGCCCTGGGCCACTGAAAACCAACCTAGGACCATTGAATCACTGGGGTTACTGGCCCAAAGAGCAAGTCAAGTGTCATGTGTCAAATCATCCTTGCAACATTTACCAATATCTCGGGCCAGTATCGAAAAAAGTTAGTGTCAAGCTCTGTGTAAAATGTGCTAACCCATGAAAGCAAAGACCTCAAAAATTGTAAAATGAAGACCAGTTGTTGAACCTGCAGCTGTGCAGGAGCTCTCACATTTTTTAAACAAAGGAGCAAGATTTTAATGGCACTGAACTATTACTGTTAAAGATGACGACTACAAAGCCCCTCCATACTGGGGAGGAAGGAAAGGTGGGGGTAATAAAAAGAACCCACTTACTTTTAATTGTCCTACAACTAAGATAATGACACCACCTTCAGTGGTGGGCTGAGTGTCTGTTGTTGTAATTACATGCTGAACCTTCTGAAAAGTCAATGACTGAAACAAAAAATGTGACAACATACATTAGCAAATTATAAGGATGAGGTTTAGTGCTGCTTTAATTTCTTATATTTTATTGCCTTTAATTCATAATTTCATTATTATTATTATTATTATTGATAGAGACCCTTTTTTTAACTAAGTGGTGTTCTGAAAGACAAACAATGTTGGTTAGACCTTTACATTACCAATAAAAACACTAGTACTGTAAAGAAAGCACCATGACTGCACATATCACTGCACGTGTCCACGAGATTTGTTTAAACCATTCCTCATATTTTAAAAGTTAAATCTAAGTATTTTACCTTGAATTTTGCAACAATTGCCTCGGGTCCTTGGACCTGGTCACCTTCAAAGGTCAGCATTGCATTTGGCTAAAGAGACAGCATGGTAAATGTAAAGGTTTGGTTTATGTGTCTTAATTTCTTCATTTTTTTATTTATTAACATTATTTCATTGAGGGTTAAAATATGGTAAATGTAAAATTTATCTTCCACAATAAGTAAAAAATACAACCTATCACTGCCCTTGTTTCCCTGATGAAGCCTGGATACCAGCAGATAAAATACTGGTTAACTAGTAAATACTAGTTAATTTTCTTTCCTATAGCTATTGTCAAATGAAACTTTATTCATTTTGGTAATTTTATACATATACCTTAATTTTCATTAACGCTTAAAATTTGAGTTACAGGGAGGGAAAATGCTGAATTTTGTGCTAGAATCACAACTGCCTGGTTCATGATGGTTCTGATATCTTTTACTATATATCACTGTCATATTATGTGAAAATGTTAACATATTAAGTTTATTTGTGTGTATTACGACACCTACCGCCCTACCGGTACATTGTACAGATTCTCGATTTTACTAATCGTTAAATCTGTGTGCCTCAGCTTCAATATACTCACAAGGTAAAACTGGCCGACACTTTCTCTTGAAGTGTCAAACATGTTGAAGTAGGTGTTAGTGAAAGATGCACCAATTTTTTCAAAAGTGTTTTCCATCGCTGTGCCTTGACACACGCCCACCTCAAACTTGCAAACTTACAGTTTCCACCTTTCAAAATGTCAGTCACCAAAATACAATCTCGTCTTTTGTGAGATTTAGCGAGATTTGCATTTTCCAAGATGTTTTAACGTCAAATCTATCAGAATAAAGCAAATTGCCGATATATTACATTAAAGTAGACAAAATAATAATTCAGCGAGGTTTTTTTTACATATTTGTAAATGCAAGGTATCTCTGCAGGATTCAGGATATGGATTTTATGGATGGATTATATTTGGAGCATTAAATTAATAGCTTTTCTTGGTTACCGCCGTCTGTTGTCTTTCTGACACGCGTGAAAGGGAAAGCATGGGGCACTTGTGCAATAATTATATTTCATGCTAGTAAATTATTAAGGTAAGGAAGCAGGTGTTGTTACTTCGATTCAATCTGCTGGACATTTATGTTTTATTGGGTTATGCTGAAACGTTTGCCTTTTTAAACAAATTAGATAACTGCTTTTTCACAGAGCCGAAAATCTGAATATCACTTACACCCCATTTCCATAGATTTTTAGATCGATCTATCCCTGTGGGGAGTCTCACTAGATTACTGTCAGCTTGGCTGGCTTAAGCGTCTGTCCCGCCTACTAAAAGCTGTAAGGGGATAATTAACTATGGTGTCCGCTCGGCTGACTGCAATTTAGCCTGAACCCCCAGGGAGTTAGGTCGATCTAAAACTTAATCTTTAGATCGATCTAAACCTCTGGGAAAGCACCCTTAAACATTACTTACAGTGCTGCATTGTAAGCCCTTAATTATTACTAAAAGTTATGGAGGGTACTTACGCAGTTTGTCATCCACATTTGCAAATATTTTATTTTTCTGTGTTTTTGAAAACTCACTTATGCGACGACTTTGATCAAATACAAGGGAGGAGGCATTCTAGGAAAATTTATGTGAGCGTCCTAAACTCAATATAAGAAAGTACATTACCGTACTAGGACAGTTTCACTTTGAGAGAAAATCTATGGAATACAATACGTGGCCAAGTGGTGAAGGCTAGGTCAGTAAATTAAAAAAAACTAGATAAACATTGCAGTGGGCAAAGGGGTTCTTTAATTGCAGAACTTTTCCAGCCTCAAGAGTGCAAGAAGTAAAAAAATTAAACTCAGAAAGTCTAGAGTCTGACGAAGAGAATGCTTGGGCCTGTGTCAAAAACCACCATAATAAGTAATAAGTAATGCCTCAAATATTCAAGTAAAAAATGTTGCAATGTAGTTGCAATCTGATAATAACATAAGTAACTTTATAAGAAACTTAAATCCCATTCAAATACAATGCCAGCTGAGGTTATTTTAGGAGTGTTACTATGTACATATAAAATTAATGTGAAACCACTTAAATTATATTCTCAAACAAACTTTTTGCTGATCTCTTAATCATTACATTCAAATGGCATCATAGGAGACTTGATCTCCTCAATCAAAAAAAAAAAAAACAACTGAATTAAGGGGTAATGCCAAAGATGGATTTATTGTCAGTGAGCAATGTTGGACTCAAATAAATAACTCAACTGCCGTCTTCAAAGCAAAAGGTGTATTTATTCAATTTTCAATCAGATATTTATAATAAATCTGCAATCAAAATAATTTTTCTCGTGTAGATTTTCCATTTTCCACTGAGAAACTCTAGAAGGCAACCCTCGCACATACCAAATGGATGCCAGCACATCTTTAATAATACAGTATGTGTGAAGAGAACATTTCCACAATGACTCAGCTTTCTACCAAATAAACTTCATCATATTTTGTCAAATCTCAAAAATGTAAAAAGCCATGCAGCTTTAAGTTTATATTTCACAGTCGTCTTTTATGATACAACAGTTTTTCTCTGGCATGTCCATTTCACGATCCATTCAGTTTCATCTGCTCCAGTTCAGCACAGGTGTTTTTTCAGCTTTCATACAATCATTTAATCTTAATTGTTCAGGATTAGTCGAAATAAATCATTAACCACTAGAAGACTGTCACCTACTTGCTTCAGGTGAAATGTCTGAGTGAAACCATGAATAGGATCATCATCAGTCTGAAATAAATAAAACATATGTTTCAGCTTGATAAACAAAGCTGACTATACTTGATGTGTACAGATATGTGTACTGAAGGGCACTGATGTTTTTAATGACTGGTCATCTATAAATGCCTAAGCTTGTCATTTTCAAGGTATTCTCCACGTTTGCACAAAATAATTCATTATGGAGGACAGCTATTTATGAAGATCCATCTGGTTTGAGCACAGTGCTTCAGTTAAGAGCTCATGGGGAGTCAGTGCCCAGTATGAGAGAGTACTAGTAGGCCTAATTGTGAACACGTCCTTAAACATCAAATCCAAGTGCAGAGACAGGTTAAGCACTTATTTGGAGGAGGACATTTTGCCCTTTTCTCGAGGAAAATTAATTTTAGGAGTACCTTACATTAAAATATACATATCTGTCACAAGTTCCATATGTATATGTAAAACGTACATTACAAAGTGTAATGACATCAGTTGGTTACCCTTTGATATCAGGGGCTTCTTAAAATAATATGAAGTATCAGCGATATAAAAATTTTGTTACAGACTATCAGCACAGTATGTCATTATTCCTTGTTGTATCAGCAAAGAACAGTCAAAGGTTAGAAGACCCTTAAAAAGTGCAGGAATTATTTAAATAAAACCTTTTATCTATTTCAGAAATTTCAGACAAGTGTTTGAAATGTAAAGAAATTTGATAACTTAGTCGAATTGGACATGAATCACTACAAAAAATCAAATCCCCCAAATCTGAAAAAAGGAAAAAAGTTTCAATGGAGTTGAACCAAAACTGTAAGAGATAATGACTACATACAGGAAGGAGGAAGATGAAGGAGGGGTGGGAGAAATAAAAAGTACCCACTTTTATTTTTCCCACAACCAATATAGTAATTCCACCATCAACCGTCGCCTGACTGTCCATTGTTGTAATCGAATGTTGAATCTTTTGAAAAGGCAATGACTGAAACAAAACATGTGACAGCATAGTAAACATTTACAAGCAAGATTAAGGAGTATATATTCTTTTAATATTAGTGCTCAGTAAAAATCTTATATTTAATTACAAAAGATTTTTTGATGGAGAAAAACAATGTGGGTAATAGACTTATACGCAACACAGACACACACACACACGTGATGTGAAAAGGGCACCAAGTCTGCATCTCTGACTACGCATGATCACGAGGGATGTTCAAACCATATATACAAGTAAACTTAAGTGTTTTACCGTGAATTTTGCAACAATAGCTTGTGGGCCAGAAAACAGCTGTCCCTCAAAAGTCAGCTGTGCATCTGCCTGAAAGTAAGACAAAACATGGGTAAGTTTAGACGCACACTGCACATTTGAAAACTCCTCAAAGTCACTTTTTGTATCTAATCATTCAACAAAGCTACTGATCTTTTCCATTTGAGATTCTAAAAACTGTTAAAAACCTTGTCAGTTCCTTCTGAAATGTACAGGAAGACGGGGGAGGGGTCACTTAAAAAAAATTTAAAGGTGCATTTCAATCTAGTTGCTGCATCAAATCATCAGTGTTCATTCTACGGCGTGACCTTGCGCCATTGACGCATTAAAGTAGATGGTGCAACCTGCAATTTGGACCGCTCCTCCAAGTTTTAAAAAGAATAGCAAGGGTCTCCTATTTTTAATTGTGTCGAATTTGTGAATAATTTAGAGCTTGTTTTCGCTCTTAATACTTGGGCGAAAAGATGCACTTTCTTGAACTTAATGTTTGACGACGTCATAAGTTTCATGTAAATCGGCAGTGATAATCGCTTTCGTGACGTTATAGATTTCTGAAACAAATGTCAATATTGTGAGGAGGGTGAGGGGCGTGGCTTTAGATAATTTGCTGTATTATGACAGGAATTCATGCAACAGGTTTTCTAAGGCCCGTATCGTGACACTTTTACTACAATCTTTTAATGTCACTAGTGGTAGTGGAAATAGCTGTGGTACGTGTGTTTTGGAATTCAGTGTAGTAGGCCTAATATTCTCAAGCGTGTCAAAAGTTACCAGTATGTTCAATACTCACGTGGTAAAACGGACCAACGTTTGCTCTTGAACTGTCAAACGTGTTGAAATAATTGGTAAGGAAAGTCGTAGCAATGCTTTCTATCGGTGTCCCCTGACACACACCCACGTCAAACCTAGGGTCCAACATAAGACAGATGAAAAGGATTAAAAACGCGGCTTGTCGTCTTTGGTCCATATTTAATTTACAGATAGCATTTTCATGCGCGCGCACAATAGGGCTTTTGTTATATGCAGAATAATTTGCCAGTTTTTATGATAATGTGAATTGGTATAGCGTAAGCGGATGCTCCCATATATTGTAGCTGCGGTTTTGATGGTCGAAAACATAATCATTAAAGGTGGGGAAAGTAATAAATTTGTTTTTCATCTTTTGTTAAAATGAGTGGCAGGAACGGTGCGCAACAGGTGTCGTTGTAGTCCTCTGCTGTTCACACAAAGCATCGGTATGTTAGGGTGACTTACCGGGTGCTTGTTTACAAAACCTGGCCCAGTAGCTCCAAAGCATTGCGACCGAGCGCAATCGTCTCGATTCCATAACTCGCCCATACTCGTCCTTTATAATACATTGTAGCCTCTATGTGATATCGCTATTCGCAATACGTGATGCTTTCGAGTTACGGAGCCCTGTTTGAAACTTGCGCAGTGCCAGAACTAAAAAGGAGGCTGATGCACAGAAATGCGTCATCTGCAGGGAAGAAGAAGAGTTAAATGGACGTTGAATCAAGCAATGAAATATTTTATTTCTCAGGTTAAATATGATGCGCTGTACAACTCCACTTCATCTTATCGTCCGAAACTTGGTTGAATTTCCTTGGTCTCAGTTTTAACAGGCGATCCCATTAATGGGATAATTAATACGTACGCGGATGTCATCCATAAAATTAAAGCATTGTGGCCTTATAAATTCTTCACAATACCAGCTGATAGGTGTAGACGTGATAAATGGCTTGCAGCGATCAACAGGACAAGGATAATATAAATAGAGAGTAAAAAGTTTACTACACAAAAGAGTGCAGACTGTGATAAGTGTTACTGTCAGTGTTGCTGACAATATATGATACCTGCCACACATGCCGTAGCTTTAGGGGGGATTGCCTAAGGCTAGAAATGCCTTAAAAATTTAATATTTTTAACAGTTATAAGCAAATTCAAACGACGGCCACTCTTTTCCCACTGCCCTAAGGTATTGCTAACACCTGTAGTTTGGGAGAAAAACGCAAAAAGGAGACTTCGGCTGATCTGCTGCTACTATACATGTATAGAGAAGCATATTATCAACTTACGATCGTGCAGTCGTGGTTTTCTCACCTGACGGGCACTTGTTTCAAGTGGAAAATGTCCAAGAGACAGTTCAAAAGGGATCAACAGCTGTAGGTTTCTTCATATTTGATGACACCACCACATTTGGTCAGTTAAATTTTGTCATAAATAGCCTCTTGCATGACTTACAAGTTATCTGGTGACCAAATTTGCTAACACCTACCTGTACCTTGTATTTATAATATTATTGTGCTCGTTCGTTAACTTGGTAACCTTAAAATGTATGTTATTCTTTTTTACACTTCCAACTTTGAGAACAATTATTTGATAATAGTGAAGTGCCCCTTGTTAAACATATGAGTATTAAAATATAATTGATCACAGAACAAAAACTGGCAAATAATATAGTATAAAAATTATCAAATAATATCTTAACCACCAAAATGTATATTTTTTGTGTGAAAACACTTAAGGAATAAATTGAGCATTTAGATTGACAGATATTTCTGATTCCAGTCGTGGAGATCGTTACAAAAGTGGCCTCTTTTTTCTTATGTTGGAATCATTTACGTAAAGACGTAAAAGTGAAAACTTTGGTCACAAAGTTCGGTAATCCATTCCCCTATTTTCATGAAACTGCTTTCATTATATTCCCAAACAGAAACAAAATTGCGGATCTCTTACTCATTACATTAAAAAAAACATGTATGGCTCAATAGATCTCATGTATCAAGAGTACAACAACTGAAGGGGTAATGCCAAAGACGGATTTATAATAAGTGAGAAATGTTGGACTCCAATAAAAACTCAACTGCCGCCTTCAGTTCTAAAACAAAAGGTGTCTTTATTCAATTTTCAATCAGATATTTGTAATAAATCGACAATCAAAATAATTTTCTTGTGTAAATTTTTCATTTTCTACTGAGAAACTCAAGAAGGCAATCCTCACACATACCAAATGGATGCCAGCACATCTTTTACAATATAGTATGTGTGAAGAGAACATTACCACAATGACTCAGCTTTGTACCAAATAAACTTCATCATATTTTGTCAAATCTCAAAACAGTTAAAAAAAGTCATGCAGCTATAAGTTTATATTTTACATTCTTCTTCCTTCAGGATACAACAGTTTTTCTCTGGAATGTCCATTTCATGACCCATTCAGTTTTATCTGCTCCAGTTTAGCACAGGTGTTTTTTCAGCTTTCACACAACCATTTCATCATAATTGCGCTAGTTTTGTCGCCATATGTCGTTAAACAATAAATAAGCCCCATTTACTGGCTTCAGGTAAAATGTACGGACAAAAGCAAGGGGAGGCATATCATCAATCTGAAATAAATAATGAATTATAAGTTTTAGCTTTATAAAACAAAGCTGACTATACTTGGTGTATACAGGTATGGGGCGTTAAGGTTTTTATAATGACTGGTCATGAGTCTATAAAAGCCTATCAGCTTGTTACTTTCAAGGTACACTCCACATGTTAGCACTCTATAAATGAATTTGATATGTAGGATATGCTTACCCGTGAAAGAAAAGGCCTCAAAATCTAAAATAAAGACCAGTTTGCAAACTGCGCTGTGGCACCTTTCTAATTTTTATCTTGCCTTATCAAGGAAAGTGTCATAACACAGATTTTCTTGGGGTAAACGACAATTTTCCCATAGTTACCAGTGGATTTAGCGAACCCGTTCAAACAATTTGGTCATTTTTTAAAAGTGTGTTTAACTGCATTAATTTCTTACGAGATTACGGAGGCTAGCCGTCTTTGAAGGTCCACCCTGGTACAGTGTGTAATTTAGGGTCTATTCCCACAACTTTAGATCGATCTATCACCGCGGGGAGTCTCACCAGACTACCGTCAGATAATCCCCCTTAAGTGTCCGTCCCCGGCCACTACAAGCCGTAAGGGGCAATTAACGTTCGTGTCCGCCCGGCTGACAGCTATTCAGCGCGAACCCCCAGGGAGTTAGGTCGATCCAAAATAGGTCGATCTAATCTATGGAAATGGGGTGTTAGACCGCATTCACGAGTTGAGCCATGACTCTACAAATCCACGAAATATGGCGGACGTACATGAAAGAAAACCGCCTAATCTTTTAATAGTCTCTCCGCCTCTCACAAGCCTCCCCATGCGTCGTCCCTGCGGGGGTACAGCCATTAAAGCACTAATAACTCTTCCTTTGAGATTCAAAATTCCGTAAGAAATACATTCTAAACAACGCGTGGAAATATATTATATTGCATTTAACCACTAAAACGGCTGTTATTGTAGTAAAACTAAAAACTGTGCTTGTCAATAGGGCTTTCGGTGCCTTTCTTCCCGGTTGTCAAGGCATCCGTTGCCAAGGACTTTGGCGTGTCACGCGGATTCTCGCGTTCATTCGAGACCAAATAACATTTGGCGGGATAAGATATAGCAGGCGTATGATGCAATCCTCAGACGTAAGTTGCGAGTTTTTGTAATGTCAGAGAGGGCTCCGTCAGTTAAAATCTCTTAAAAGATTTAAACAAAAAACCAAGCGTTTAGGAAAAAAACCTAGACTAACTTTGAATGCAGGAATGGGGTCGTTGACCATTGGTTAGTACGGGAAAATTGCCGTTTACATCAGGAAAATCCAATTTTTGGCCAAAACGAAGATTTATTATGACTTTAAATCTTTGCTGCATTCGCCATGCGGAAGCTACCTGAGAAATATTAAGTGCGCATGCTCATCAATTAAACTCGTGGTGAAGAAAGCATGGCGGCTGGAGGCGATCGAAGGGAGGGGGTTAAAAAAGAACCCACTTACTTCCATTTGTCCTACAACCAATGTTATTATTCCACCATCAGTGGTTGTCTGACTGTCTATTGTTGTAATCGTATGTTGGATATTTTGAAAAGGCAATGCCTGAAACAAAATTTGTTACAACATAGTAGGCCTATACATTAACAGAAAAGATTTAATAGGTCATGTTTTTTAGTATAAGTGCTCATTAACATCTTGTTTCATTATAAATATAACTGAATTTATTAGATCAAGAAAAACCATGTGGGCAATTCTCTTAGAAAAAAAACTAGTAAAGTGAAAAGGGTACCATAACCAAGTCTGCGCATAATAATTCTAATCAACATTTGTAAGAACTTTTTTGCAGTGTGTGAATGGTGTGTGGAAGGTGTCTTTGTCTCTCATTATGTTGTAAATGTCCTGTATTAATTTTCGTGAAAAAAAGGCTGCGCATCTCTGCACATGCTCACGGTGGATGTTGAAACCATTCTTTATATTTGTAAACCTAAGTATTTTACCTCCAAATTTGCAACAATTGCCTGTCGACCAGAGAACTGTTGTCCTTCAAAAGTCAGCAGTGCATATGTCTGAAAGTAATACGAAACATGGTACAAAGCTACTGATCTTTTCAACTTGAGATTTTAAAAACTGTAAAACCTCCTCTTAGTTCCTTCTGGAATGCACAGGAAAACTGCGTCAGTCGCTTAGATCAATATAAATCGTCGCAGTAGCACGTTCAAGAAGGTCAATGTTGCTGTGACTATCGCTCAAACGTCCGAGTTGCATCTTATCAGGTAATACTGTAAAAACATCTATTTGCATATAAACGCCTAAAAAAGTCTCAAAGTATTTATTTCAATTATTTATACAGCTACCAGTAGCATTCCGGGTTTCACGTGCAGCCGGGTCAACTATATATATATATATATATATATATATATATATATATATATATATATATATATGCTGTCTATCCTGCTTCTGTGAAAAAATCTTAGATGATCTGATTAAGATTAAAATAGACCATTTTCTCTAGAAGGGTTGGAATTGCCACTACTCTTTAATATGCAACCTTGACAAGTGATTGATTGTTCTTCAATGACTACTGAAGTCGGTCAAGTTGGAATAGTAACCTGGTGCAAACATAACACACGTGATTCTCAAGTTTGCTACCAGCCTCTATGTTTAAAATGCTCCCCGTGCTTGTTGTTGCCAAAGCAACCAAAGTAACCATATTTTCTATCCTATTTTAGTTTTTACCTTTAAACTAAAATATGATAGAATATATGGTTGTTCAATCAAAGGGCCTTAAACCATTGCAAGCTAATTTACTTTGAGACACTTCTCGGGCTTAACACCCAGATGTCACACGTACCTCGCTTCTGAATTTTAAATCGTTTAAGTCATGTTTATCAACTTCTGTAGTTGAGGCTGATGCCTGAATATCACATAATCAGCGTTCTTCGACAAAACTATCAGAAAAACATGATTTTTGAATAATTGGCGATCCTCAAATGTAGCTGGGATTGATTGATATGTAGAAATAGATTCAGAAATTGGCAGTTGACTCTTAATTTGTTCTACGTTACGTTATTATTTCTACAAGGACCACACCTTACATTACTGGTGATCTTTTTTTTTAAAACACTGTGCCTCAACAGCCGCACGGCTGAATACGAAATTTCAATTAAGCTTTATTGTGTAAAAAAGTAAGACACAAACTTAACATCTTGAAGGGTTGGAACTGCCTCTACTCTTTCATGTGTAGGCTTGACAATTGATTGATTATTCTTTAATGGCCACTGAAGTGGGTCAAGTGTGAGTGGTCATATAGTGCAGACATGATACGGTATACATGATACTCAGGTTTGTTTAATTCTGCAAATTTTGGAAAAGGTGCAATCCGACGACGGCCATACCCTTGTGCAAAATTTGCAGAATTAAATGCTAAATATCTCTCAAACCGAAGGAATTATGGGAAAAGTTCTATTGATTGCTGCTGAAAGTCATATGTGGAGATTTCAAATATGCCCTTGGATTTGACCTTTGACCTGTATTTCAAGGTCAAACGGGCCACTTTCTAAAAATTGTAAGCTTCTGGAAAAAAAAAAAGATATATATATATATGAGCCGGTTTTCAGAAAGCACACAGGCCTAAACTCTCATATTATAGTAGAGAGTTACATTTAGAGACTTCTTTTATCTTCTTTCATCTTCGGGAGTTTGGGGTCGATCGGCCCATTTTCACGGGAGAAGCAGCCATTCAATGCCGACGAAACTGAAAACGCTTTCTTATTCTGGAACCGTATATGACAACTCTTGTTTTTTGCGCTGTGATGTCCATTTTTTTCCATACGGTTATCAAAAAGTACAACGTCGCATTATTCGGTGGTGGAAATAAAATGTGAAATAACTCCAAAATTAGCAGAAATACACCCATAGTTACTATTACACTTGAATAACTGTAACCTTGAAATTGATCATTGACTTACTTTTCGCCATGAACTGCACTTCACATATTTGGATTTGAACTTTTGCTTTTCCCCATGATTTTGTTATAAATTGTAATTTTCAACAAAAATTTTGAGAACTCTTGTTTACTGCATTTTGTAGAGTTGGTCAAGCACAACACTGGAGGTGGTGCCCCTTTTTTGTTTTCTATACGAATGCGACTGCTCAAGCCGGTGGTACAGTACCCGGAGGCGGTATTGCGGTATACATTTCTGTGTTTTTACAATGTACCTGTAATTCTTCATTTTGAAATTTGTATTTCATACGAACAGTACGTTGTTATCCCTTTAATTGTAAATGTGCGGGTCGAACGGAATATTTTCTTAGACCATAGCTAGAACGTTTTTAATTCTCTATAAATCTACACGCTTCGCATGAAATAACTTGTTTACATGACCAAGGTCATTCTAAGGTGACTCGTTCCACGCAAAAAAAAAAAAAAAAAAAAAATTAAATTAAATTTGGCAATTAGATATACTATCTACTGTTGCGCACTTTTCGTGAATTTGCATCCAGCGAGTCTATGGGCAACACACTTTTCGCTGTTTATCTCCCTAAGTGCATAGCGAAAAGTGTGTTGCCCAAAGATTCTTTGAAAGCAAATTTTTTCAAGACACATTTCCCCCTGATTCATATACCAGCCTAATATGAGTGAATCTCAACTTCAATACTCACATGGTAGAACGAACCAATGTTTTCCTTTGCAGTCTCAAGTGTTCTGAAATAATTGTTAACGAAAGTTGTAGCAGTGTTTGCTACCGATGTCCCCTGACACACACCCACGTCAAACTTAGGGTCCAACATAAGACAGATGAAAAGGATTAAAAACGCAGTGTGTTGCCTTTGAGCCATTTTTACAGTCGGATAGCCAACGTAGCACTTTCATGCGCATGTGTAACTGACCTTTTATCCCTGTAATAAAAAGATAGTCAAACCACACATTTAATTTTATGGATGACAATCTCGTAACCCCGAAACCAAGGCGAGCCGTCGAAAAAAAGGGAAATATAATAATAATAATAATAATAATAATAATAATAATAATAATGCTTAATTAAAGTAATACATATAACTGGAAGCGCAAATTAAACCAAAGAGCATAATGTAGACCAAACAAAGAACAGGTCTTTATTCGCGCTGAGAACACTAGAGAGTCAGTAGTCTTTTGTTTTATATCCGTGTATCAAACATCACAGTCCTCCTTTGTGCTGAGAATGTTTAAGAGTCTTCGCTCACCAGCTACAACTCTGTATTGTACCTAGAACTCAGTGTCCTAGATCAAGCAAAAATCCAAAATTACTAACATAATGTCTCCTGGTAAGCTTTTATGTGAATGTATTTTATCGAATTTAGACGATGCGGCCGCAATCTTTGCATTCACGTTTGGCGGCAATTTGCATGTGCATGACCAAAACATTTTTGTGGCATTTTGAGTGAGCACAGACGGTGACAGCAGTCTGTTCCGGAGTTCCAAAGAGTTTTTTTTTAGAACAGGCGAAAATCAGTGCGCACGCTGATGTCATCCATAAAGTTAAATCAGTGAGGAATAATCCCAAATTCTTCACAATACAAATGTAATTGTTATAAAATTTTGCATATTTGTACTATGCATGTTCTTTTAGAAAAGTTTTTTAAATAACTTTTCAAAATGAAAAAGAAATCATGATTATGCAGTTCCCTTATTGGCTGGAAATGGTGTACACAGCCGAAATTGAATATCCCTAAATATATATGCTTTCTGCCAGTGAGATTTGTCAACGGAATAAACTGCCAGAATTACAATACAGAATTAATTATCAGGCGCCACTCGCACACCCTCATATGATGTCATTAAGAGTCGACAGGGCGCTTACTGGGCGAGGGGGGGGGGGGATATGAGCCCGACGTCGCAATACTTCATATGTATAGGTAGGTAACGTTCGTTAACTGTGGAGTCACAATAGGCCCCTAATCAAGCTTTCATTTCTGCAAATTTGATGGATTTTAAGTAACAATACCTTTATTTCAGTTAATTTCTAGCTTTTTGATATCATGTCAGGTATAGGGGTCTATGTACGGGGTACAACATTCAATTTGTAATTAGGCCTATTACTTCAACATATCTGCCCCCTTTATTATTATTATTATTATTATTATTATTATTATTATTATTATTATTATTATGTTTTTTTTTATCTCTCCGGTATAGTCAGAATTTCGTGTTACCCAAACCTCTGCTAAAAGCAAAAAAGGAGATCTCAAATACCCAGGTCACAAAGTTCAAATTACTTTCTCCTCATAATATTCAAACAACACTACGGCTCGTGTAGTATTAGATACACGTGCATTTTATTTCCAGGGGTATTTGTTCATGTCTGCAGTCCAAACGATGACAATTCAGTTCATCTGAAGAGGAACTTGCCATAAGTTCGAAATGTCGTGATCTTCGTTTCAACGCAAGGTCCAGTCTAAGATTTATTTTCTCGTTATCTCAGTTTCAAAACCCATACAAAAATAAGCCTGCAACCTCGTCATTTATGAGGTTTGGCAACATTTTAACATTAAATATAGCAATAAGCCTATAAAGCAAACCAAACTATAAATATGAATTGAAGTGGACAAAAGAATTAATTCAGAGAACATGTTAACATATCTGTAAGTACAAGACATACGTGCGGGATGCGGGAATATTGATTGTATTTGGAGCATCCATAGCTTTTCTTGTTTAGCGCCATCTGTGGTCTTTCTGACAAGGGAAAGCATGGAAGGCGCTTTTGCAACTTTACCCGACTTATAACTATATTTCATGCAGGTAAATGCATTAAGGTAAGGAAGTTGGAGGTTGTAACCGCTTTAACTGACAGCCGAAATTCTGAATATCACTTGCTTATTGAGGCCAGCTAGTGGTAAGATAGCTCTCTATGAAATAAAGTACGTTTTGTAGTAGTAACGAGGTCGTCATTCTACATGTACTAGTATACCTCACCAGGTGACATATTATTATTATGAATAAGCATGTAGCCCACGACAGGCCATACCAACACTAATAATACATAATATAAGGTTAAGATTGGTGTTATTTCATTTATTGCAGTTAAAATATTTAGAATCGAAAAACAATTTTCTCAACAGCTTGGAGAGTTAATAACCTGCATGGTGATAAAGGGGATATTGTTGAAACTTCCAGGAAAGTTAATATATCACTACATGTTTTTATTGGCTCCAACATGCAATATAAACATATACCTTTCAATATTGTAGGAGCTACGGTGACAGAAGATGATGATGAAGTACAAACTGTTCACGGGGATCTGTTGCAGGCTATACAGTGCCTCAATTATGTCGATGAATGTAGCTTCTCACAGACATTTCTGCAGTTCATTTCTGACTGATATTTCCTCACCAGAAACTACAGTGACAGTAGGCAGCCAGACTTATGCCAGGGATGAGATGACAAACGTGACACCGCATATACTGTCCAAAGTTGGCAGCAATCTTCATAATCGAAAGTATCACCCTCTGAACTTACTGAAGCAAAGGATTCGAGATCACTTTTACAAAAATTACGTCAAGCCACGGGGCAACCCGATATTTACTGTCGTTGATGACTTGCCACCTGTTGTCACCATTGAACAATGTTTTGATAGCTTATTGACTCCAAAAGACCACGTGAGCCGGAAACCATCAGATACGTATTATGTAAACAGGCACCATGTGCTTCGCACCCACACCTCGGCTCATCAGTCTGATTTGATTCGCATGGGTTGTGACCAGTTTCTAGTGATTGGAGACGTGTACAGAAGAGACACCATAGATAAGTCCCATTACCCAGTGTTCCACCAGTGTGAAGGTGTGAGATTGTTCACAGAACGTGAGGTATGAATTTATAGATGGGAATTCAACTGGATCATTGTCACAGATCCTGGGGTAGCGCTTACACTTGCCAGTTTAGCCCAATGCTAACACTGGCTTAAACTGGCTAAACAAAAAGGCTTGATTGAGTTGTTTTAGTCAAATTGCAACCATCTGGATATAACAAATTGACAAGAAAGTGGTGATTTGGCTGAGGGGAAAAATTGGAAGCGCTATCCCAAGATAATATCTTCAATAGAGTCTAAATGTGATCTAATGGCTTGTATGCCACCATCTAATATTGGTTACCCTTCATAAAGATTTAATTTATGCAGGAGAATCCCATAGATTGTGCAAATGTTAAAAGCATCCTCCAGATGGTAATGATGTAAAAAAAAAAATTGGGCTACATGTTAACTAACTAATAAACCTATAACTTATTGAAAGTTAATTGCTCTTGAGGCCATTACATTAAGTCAAACTATTTTCAGATACTATCTGATTTTTTATCTTTCTTTGGCAGCTTTTAATCAGTAAATTCTCAGAACAGGACATGGAAGGTTTGACGGTGTTTGAGCAGGGCCCTCGTATCCCAGCCAAGCAGGCCCCTCACACACAGGATGCTGTTGTCCTTCTGGAGGCCGACCTGAAGTGGACACTGACAAGATTGGCTCATGATATATTTGGAAAAGGTACGTGTTTGATGTTTTCATCTTAGAACATACTGGAATTACTTTCAAATGCTTAGCACTTCGCTTACTGTATAATGTATTTTTATAGACAGAAAAAAAGCCATGTAATATATGAATGTGGTACTCTTTACTTCTCCTTCAGGTGATACTGACAAAATATCAATTTTGGAAGTGTAACAAACCAAATTTGTTGTAACTAAGGGAGAATTCCCAGTGAGACTATCTTTCTAAGTAGATCTGCATACTTGTATAATCATCAGCTTTTCTGTATTCTGCTCAGTGCCAGGGGGAGGCGTGTTAATCTGCTGATCTGATTGTATTCATCTAGAGTATCCACAGAGTTGGATCAGTCTATGCAGACCGATAGTTTCATTGGGAATGAGCCCTGAGTAAACATTTTCCACATTTCACTGCTTGTTCCAGATGTAGAGACCCAGTGGGTGGACTGTTATTACCCACATTTCACTGCTTGTTCCAGATGTAGAGACCCAGTGGGTGGATTGTTATTTCCTACATTTCACTGCTTGTTCCAGATATAGAGACCCAGTGGGTGGATTGTTATTTCCTACATTTCACTGCTTGTTCCAGATGTAGAGACCCAGTGGGTGGATTGTTATTTCCTACATTTCACTGCTTGTTTCAGATATAGAGACCCAGTGGGTGGACTGCTATTTCCCACATTTCACTGCTTGTTCCAAATATAGAGACCCAATGGGTTGACTGTTATTACCCACATTTCACTGCTTGTTTCAGATATAGAGAGCCAGTGGGTGGACTGTTATTTCCCACATTTCACTGCTTGTTTCAGATATAGAGACCCAGTGGGTGGATTGTTATTTCCCATTCACACACCCGTCCTGGGAGCTGGAGATCAAGTATAAGGGGGAGTGGCTGGAGGTGCTGGGCTGCGGGGTCATGGAGCAGGAGATACTAAACGAAGGTGATTATTAGCTTGGCCAGTAGTGTGGAATTTAGTGACGGAATTTTTCCTGGTTTTGTCCAGAAATAAGGCTATTAGGATAATGTATTTCTGTCCCCCTGGACCTCCCATATAAAGCTGATTACCTTCTGTGCTTGTATTTTCAGAATGTTATTAATGGGTCAAGTTTCATCTGTGGGTTGTATTTTCATAGGTGTTTGTTTGCTGTTTTGTTTGTTAGTGGGCAAACTGTCCTGAACGTTTTTCGGAGATGTTGGTGACATTTCCAGTATACACAGTAATCACTGTGTGTTAGCTGTTCAGAGGGAGATTGTTTAGGTGTAAATATCCGTACAGGAGTTTGGGCAACTGCACATCAGAGATTCACAGATTGTCAATTATTTAAAAACATTCAATGCCCTGTTTGGTTTTTAATGCATAAAAGGCTAGCATACTGCTACTACCATATCCTAAAATGTTTTAGTTACATATGTATCATAAAATATAATGTAAAGAGTGAAATTGTCTTGTGTGTTTGTTTCTTATAATTAAAAAGATGGGAATTGCGTATTCTAAATTACAATATGAAATTTCTTCAGACAACAATTAAACTCAAAGGCCCCACTCAGAATAGGGGACTATCTAGTCCGAGGGTCAAATATGGTCGACCCACTCGAATACTTCCCCACAGGATATCTGTTTAGTGTCTATTAGCAGTTAAGATGGCAAGCTTTGTATTGGGTTGCCATATTTGACCTTCGGACTAGATAGTCCCTTATTCTGAATGGGGCCAAAGAGTTACTTGCACTCTATTATGAATTGTAGTTTCTCACAAGACAGCTTCTTGTACTGAAAATGCAAACTTAGAACCTTTATATCTGAAAAGAAAACTGTTAACATTTCAGCTGGAGCTGGGAACAAGGTGGGCTGGGCGTTTGGCCTGGGTCTGGAGAGGTGGGCCATGAAGATGTACGACATCCCAGATATCCGCCTTTTCTGGAGCCAGGACTCTGGCTTTCTGTCTCAGTTCAGAGTGGATGATGCCAATACACCTATTAAGTACAAAGTGAGTTATATGTTAAGATTTTTGGATATTTCTACAGTAGGAAGTTTGCTGTTTACCGTAAAGATCTATTTGCAATTGTAGCAATAAGTAAAAATATTGGTTGCAATTGCCACAATATGCAGGGGCGGATCCAGAGATATTTTCTGACAGTCTTCCAAATTATCTTTGTTAATCCATCTTCCATTTTGACCGTCTTCCGACAGAAAACCTTAGATACCCGTCAATGTAAACTTAAAAATATGACCGTCTTCCGGAAGACCCAGAAGACGGCCTAAATCCGCCCCTGATATGCCACTGGTAGCTTTGCAAATGAACTTTAGTTTACAGCATATGTACCTAAAAGAATTAAAAATTCATGAGTTTGAAATTGTGTGAAGAAAGAAAAAAAAAATGAAAAAAGAAAGTTTAAAAGAGCATTCAGGTAAGTATGTAGTCAGATCTTGTAATGTATGCTCGTATACGTATTTCACAAGTTAGGTTAATTTATTTATTAAATCATGTTTTATCTATTTAATTTATTTTCTGCTGATTTTTCAGCCCGTGAGCGTCCATCCCCAGTGTTACAATGACATCTCCTTTTGGATCCCGGACAATTACACTGAAAATGATTTCTACGACTTGGTGCGTGGCCTGGGGAGTGACATGGTGGAACAGGTTGAACTCATTGACAATTTCACACACCCCAAGAAGGGTCGAACCAGCCACTGCTACAGAATAACATACAGGCATATGGACAGGGCAGTACATCAGGAGGAGGCCAATAAGATACATGCACTTATCACCGAGGCTGCTATTAATAATCTTGCAGTGGAAGTACGATAGCATTTTGCCCCTGCCCACGCCCCCTCCCCCCTCTCCTCACAAGGGTGTAATATATCATGATGAGCTTGAGTCAGTAATATCCCCCCCCCTCCTCTCCCCTCAGATCTGTCATTGAATTGTACTGATTGAATCACTGACACTTGTAATAACACAATAAAGGCAAAACTCCAATATTCACAAGAGTACATTACAGTTACACAGCTTGGAACAGTTTATAAAACACTGTGTGGACTCTGTGAGCTATTTTTATACATTTTTATGGCATTTTATGGCATTATCGTGTTGGGTACCTGTAATGCATTGATTGATGCATATGAATCATTGAATTTCTGAAAAAAAAATAAAAGAATTTAATATACAGTGTGGCTTTTTTATATTGATCAGAGGAGACAATTACAATTAATGTTTTTTCTTTTATACTTGAAATCTAGATTGCTATTTTAAGGCAAGTGCGTTTTCATTACAGCGAGCATAATATGCAGGGTTCCTCAAAATTATTCATCTGATGAGCAATCCTGGCCAACTTAACATTTTGCATTATTTTTATACAGTAGCATGAGATAAGCCAATGGGATAGGCAATGGGATAAGTACAATAAATGTAAATATTCCACGTAAAGGTTTACTTGTATGAAAGAATTAACGAAAAAAATTATCTTGTGCGTGCTCAGTTCTGATGACTTGTAGTATTTTAATACTAAATGATACAGTTAAATCCGTGGCGAGTGGTGAAATTGATCACATTCAGAAATAAAAGGTGGGGTGATCCACTTATTATAAGGTGCGTCAAGTTATATATCTCTGATAATATTCGCAATTTCTGTATAACTAGAGTGCTAAGATTTTCTTTCAGTAGTCACTTTTTTGTTTGAAAGCGTAAATAGGACGGCTAGAGGCTGATTATTCAGACGTGTTACATGTATTTCTTTCGTACAAAAATTATTAATATTTTTAGGGAAATATGTGCGTTTTATGTAATGCATCTTCCCTGTAATCGTTTTCTGCATCTTTATATATTTTATATACAGTACATGTATATNGGGGTCCTACGAAAATACGAAAACCGCGAAAACCAGAAGTTGCTAGGCGAAAACGTCACTATAACTTACCAATTCTCGATGTTCTTGACAAGTTGCTGTAATATTTGGATAACTTGGACCACATTACATACATCATGACCTTTGATAACGATGTTGTAATGAATTGAGTATGTAACAGCTGAGTTTTCTAGATCGGCAACTATAGTGCGTGGGAGCCATGTTTGGTTTACAATTGGCATATATAAACAGCAGTGTCCCCTCAGGCCAGTATTGCCATCTCAGGCCAGTATTGCCCTCTCAGGTTAGTAATGCTTTTCCAGGCAAGTAATACTCTCTCAAGTGCTATATGAAGTGGATAACACAGATTACCTGCATTCTTAGTAATACAAAGTTTATTAATAAATAGGAATTAATAAATATGCACAAAGTAGAACTTTTTTTCATTCCAACCAGAAGTGAAACTACACATCAGTGCTTGTAAAAAGTGCCCATTTTAATACACCATACATGTAGAGTCTATATTGTATGAGCTGTGAACCTACATAGAATTTACACTCCTACTTTTCCAAATATAAAATAAGTAGCATTGTTTAATAAAGTGACCAGCATAGAGCAATTTATAAAGCATTATGAAAATGTAGGTTGTAATTAACATAATTGATAATATTCAATATATATAATAATGGTGAATACAATTAAATTATTTTTATTAAAACATTTTTTCCTCTGAACTTGATCCATGGCCACTGATTTTATTATTTAATCACATTTTATCTTACTCTTTTTGAAAAGATATTCATGCACAGCCATTTGTTACACTAATTGTTTTTCACTTAATAAACCAAATCCATTTCTAAAGCATCAATTAATGTATTGATTGTATATATGTGCATCCTAAGGTGTCTAATACATATTTTACCTTCAAATCAATGTGTTTAATTGTTTTTACATTTGGGTTCTGTGTATGTGCCAGTATACAGAGATAAGCTCTTTTAACTCTGAAAAAATGTCAATAGTCAGTTAATCATGCATATATATATATTATATGCATATATTATACATATATATATTATACACAATAATGGAGAAAAAAAAAAAGGAAAAAGGAACACACATTAAACACATGTACTGGTACTCTGATTTGCAGGAGGCATTTTCTCTTGAAAGGAGATATAACAGATTACAACTGCATGATGTTATGTGATTGACATAATAAATAGTTTACTCCTAGACTAGAGTTTTAGGCAGTGCACATCTAATTTCGTAATTGATATGATATGATTATCTTTCAATTCCATATCTATTTCATCATTTCTGTGTCTATGCTGTGTTTTAACACTTCAACTTTTTGTATGGTAAGTTTTTATCAGTTTGAAGCACCCTGCATGTGTTTTGTTGAAGATTGCCAAAAAGCAAATGAAGTTATGTATATCAAGATAGTCCATAACATGTTAACACCTTGGTATTTTCCATTATTTGCTGAATATTGGCATGCTGTAATATTAAGGGACTGTTGACAGTTCTTATTTGCCAGGAAGTTGATCAATAGTAAATAATAGTGTGTGCTTGTATATTTCATTTGCCATATATTTAAAGCATGTTATATACCAAATTTGGGCCAGTTTTGGGCCTTGCTTTGTCTTGAACTTGCATTCTGCTTGGTATAATAAAAGGAATATGAAATAAAAAGTGTTAGTTTTCTTGTAAAGAATATTATTACCTCTGCCAAGGAGGCTATGTTTTCACCCCTGTTTGTTTGTTTGTCATCTTCATAACTAAAAAGTTATGGATAAATTTCGATGGCATTTTCAGGGTAGGTCAGAAATGGGTTAACTTAGAAGTGATTAGTTTTTGGTGGTGATCTGGATCTATAATCAATCAATAATAAAAAACTAAATCATTATAGAATGAAAATTTAGGAGTGAAATGGTATTGGATGGACACTCTGCTGCCTTAGTGGAGGTCTGCGGTCTCTTATTGCTTTTCTAGTTGCCATTATTAATAAACTATTGTGTACACTTTGTACTTTAAAAGTATTATAAGTTCTCAACTAATGCATTTCTCAATGGTGTATAATATATTGGGAAAGGAAGGTAACATTTTTGAAACAGATCATTAGTCCACTATTCTGAATGTGGCCTATATTTGTAAAATTGTCAGCTCTCTCTCGTATTAATTCTCCTCTAAAACTTTATTCCTTTAAATATCTGGCCAAATAAGAATTATGCTTTGGCAATAGCATATAGCTCCCATATGATTTGAACTACTTTTGAAAGGGGACATTATTCTAGGTCAAAAACAAATGTTGCTTTAGTTCTAAATGCTTTAGCCATCATAAATGGGTTTAAACTCTGATAAAACTATAATCAATACTTAGACAAATTATGAATCTACATATTTAAGGTCATAGATTGTGTTGCACTTTACAGAGCACCCATACATATTCATATGTAACATGTTCTAAGGCCAAAATAAAAAAAACTTCAGACAAATGCATTGAACGATTTGGATGTGTTTATTCTCAGAACTCGCTAGTCTGAAATGCAGACCGCATACACAGCACAAATTGCGTTTTCTTAAAAGAATTTTTGTATCTTTCTGATTACCATTGGGATTTACTACCTACTGAATTCATGTCATTGTTTATATGTAATGATTGGATCAGTCCAATAAGTATTGTGGTTAGGAGGGTTAAGTTGACAATGGCTAACTGTTATCCGCAGGTGTAAAAGAAATGACTGAATTGCATATATTAAATTTGGTGTGGTAAAATGGTTCAAATTTTGTGAAGACCTGGGATTTCTTTCACACAAACAAGTTAACAAGCTAACAAACAGAAAAGTATTTTTTTGAGACACGCGTTATAAATACTTATTTCATCGAGTTAAAGATGCATCTAAAAATGCATATTCATCATATATTCTAATATCATAAAACAGCCAGAAGGCCAAGCACACAGTTGGGTAGAATTCTTAAAGGAAAAAAACATACAGTCTGTGTATTCTGGAAATTCAACACCTATGGGATCTTTAATTAACTGATGGTCATTATGATTGCATACTTTTCACAAACAAATGCACCCTTGGATTCTAATTAAAGTCAATTAATTAGATTCTGTTAATTTTAAGTGCTCTCTGACCTTTTTTAAATGAATTAACACAATCTATACANAGGTTGACAATGGCTAACTGTTATCCACAGGTGTAAAAGAAATGACTGAATTGCATATATTAAATTTGGTGTGGTAAAATGGTTCAAATTTTGTGAAGACCTGGGATTTCTTTCACACAAACAAGTTAACAAGCTAACAAACAGAAAAGTATTTTTTGAGACACACATTATAAATACTTATTTCATCGAGTTAAAGATGCATCTAAAAATGCATATTCATCATATATTCTAATATCATAAAACAGCCAGAATGCCAAGCACACAGTTGGGTAGAATTCTTAAAGGAAAAAAACTTACAGTCTGTGTATTCTGGAAATTCAACACCTATGGGATCTTTAATTAACTGATGGTCATTATGATTGCATACTTTTCACAAACAAATGCACCCTTGGATTCTAATTAAAATCAATTAATTAGATTCTGTTAATTTTAAGTGCTCTCTGACCTTTTTTTAATGAATTAACACAATCTATATACATCCATATGAAAGAAACAGAAAATTGAAAAATTAAGTGATATACAACATAATCCCCATCAATTTTTATTATCTACTTTAAGTAATACTGTTTATTGTAACTGCTCTCTGACTTTTTTTAACGAATTAACACAATATTAAATATATACATCCATTTGAAAGAAACAAAATCGAAAAATGAAGTGATATACAAAGCAAGTCCACAGGTCAGTATTAACAATACACTGTAGTTGTCTCAGAATAAGACTTAAGTCCCTTTTCTTAAAAAAAAAAATTGCCAGTGCACAAATTGACTAAATATGTATTGATAACTGTTTTGGTAAAATGGAATTTGGTATGTAGAGAGCCTTTATTTTAACATGATTTGAACAAACAAAAACAACTTTTTTATGATGAAAAACATTTAATGATTCAATATTTCTTTTATAAAGTTTAATGCAAATACAAAGTTCTTACAACTTCATGTACAGTTAGAAGGAATTTTTCTCATGCACAAATAACACATTTACAAATAAAGCATTAATTAACTTAAAGTTGGTACAATGTTGTAAATGTTACTTGATAAATGTTTGTTAGTTTCTTATATGTATGTATTAAGTAAGCAGAAAATATTGTGCTGTTATCCACATTCATATGCCTGAGAGAGC